ATGACATATAGTAAAATACTCGGGAGGAGCGGAGGGTGAAGGGACAATGAGATATAGTAAAATACTCCCAGCCTGGCGCATCGGGAGGGTAAGGGTGGTGGAGCAGGATGCGCCGGCGGGACAACGAGATATAGTAAAATACTACGCCAACTGGTGTTGGCGGAGGAGCTGCAGGGACAATGACATATAGTAAAATACTCACCCGCCTGGGTGAGCCTGGCGCAGAGACTGGGTGAGGAGCGAAGGGTGAAGGTACAACGACATATAGTAAAATACTACGCCAACTAGGGTGGCGGAGGAGTGAAGGGTGAGTCACCTTTGGGTGACCTTGTGACGTAATCATTGACCTTGTGACGTAATTAGTAACATTATGACGTAATCATTGACCTAGTTACGTAATTTTAATGTGTTTTTTTATTAGTTTTAATGAATTTTTAAAATTTTAATTAATTTTTGACCTAGTTACGTAATTTTAATGTATTTTTTAATTAGTTTTAATGAGTTTTAAAATTTTTAATTAATTTTTATTATCGAGTTACGTAATTTTAATGTGTTTTTTAATTAGTTTTAATGAGTTTTAAAAATTTTAATTAATTTTTTATAAACGAGTTACGTAATTTGATTATTTGTTTGAGTTTTTAAATTTTTTAATTAATTTTTATTATCGAGTTACGTAATTTAATTACTTTGATTGTATTTTTATTTTGTTTAATTTGTTTGTTTACTTGTTGTTTAATTTAATTACTTTGTTTATATTGTGTAATTTTTATTAACGAGTTACGTAATTTGATTATTTGTTTACTTTTTAATTATTTTTATTTTGTTTATTTTTAATTTAATTTTATTTTATAATTAGTTAAATTATTATTAACTAGTTACGTAATTTGATTTTAATTACTTTTGTTTATTTATTTATTTATTTGATATATTTCTTTTCTTTGATGTATGGTATTTAAAATAAAAGACACTGTTTATTTGATTTTAAACGGATAGGGGTGTTGGTGGATGAGAGGGGGAGTAATGATGGGGTTTGAGGGTAGGGGTGCGTTAGCGTGTACTTTGTGAATAACATACATTAACCAGACACGTAACATCTGTTACGTATCGACCGCCCGCGAAGTTTTCCGGGCTGCGTGTTTTTAATGGGAATGTATTGATCGCACCCACTGGGCCATCACAGCATGATGTCCCACCTAATTAAATTTTTGTTATGCTTCACCGAGTTTCCCCCACTCGGTTGACAGGTTATGGTAATTTACGACGTACATTAAGTGGCTTTCCGCGAAGTACGTAGGTCATTATGCAACAGCTGTGTAATATCGATCGCATCCACTGACCATCACACCTAATTAAATTGGTCACACATCGTAAGTGTAGCGACATCGGTAACTATTCGCTTATAGCGAGGTCAGCGAAAACCGATCGATTTGTCAGCTCCGTGAATCCCTTAGGTAACAGCCGGTGCTGTAATTAGTCACGGCTCTCGGCTTTTTTCATTAGATTACAGCTGTCCATGAACTATGTTCACATATCGTACGCCCGGTCATTCTTTGATCAAATTAAAAATTTTTGTTTCCACATGTCCTACGAACCGTCCCTTGCTATGTATGAAAGATTAATGGTTGTAACTATTCGCTTATAGCGAGGGTCAACGAAAACAAAATATATTTAAGGGTCGGAATTTTCTTTCAACCAACGTTAAATCAGGTTTTGAGACGAAACGAGGTCTCGGTAGGTTCGTGCTTTTTAATGGGCGACAGGGGCGACTTAGTGCGTTGGTACGTAAGGTATGCGGGGGGTAGACATGTTTTTTACAAGTCTGGAAAAGTAATTAAGTTTTTTATGACCGTTCCGATTTTCTTTTGATCTGACCAACATTTGACCACCCTGAGCCAGATAAATTTAACAAATGTTCAATACATAGTCGCTTAAGCGAGTATGTATTGAACATTTGTTAATATTTCCCCCTTCACCCACCTGTTCACCTGTCTACCCCCCGCATACCTTACGTACCAACGCACTAAGTCGCCCCTGTCGCCCATTAAAAAGCACGAACCTACCGAGACCTCGTTTCGTCTCAAAACCTGATTTAACGTTGGTTGAAAGAAAATTCCGACCCTTAAATATATTTTGTTTTCGTTGACCCTCGCTATAAGCGAATAGTTACAACCATTAATCTTTCATACATAGCAAGGGACGGTTCGTAGGACATGTGGAAACAAAAATTTTTAATTTGATCAAAGAATGACCGGGCGTACGATATGTGAACATAGTTCATGGACAGCTGTAATCTAATGAAAAAAGCCGAGAGCCGTGACTAATTACAGCACCGGCTGTTACCTAAGGGATTCACGGAGCTGACAAATCGATCGGTTTTCGCTGACCTCGCTATAAGCGAATAGTTACCGATGTCGCTACACTTACGATGTGTGACCAATTTAATTAGGTGTGATGGTCAGTGGATGCGATCGATATTACACAGCTGTTGCATAATGACCTACGTACTTCGCGGAAAGCCACTTAATGTACGTCGTAAATTACCATAACCTGTCAACCGAGTGGGGGAAACTCGGTGAAGCATAACAAAAATTTAATTAGGTGGGACATCATGCTGTGATGGCCCAGTGGGTGCGATCAATACATTCCCATTAAAAACACGCAGCCCGGAAAACTTCGCGGGCGGTCGATACGTAACAGATGTTACGTGTCTGGTTAATGTATGTTATTCACAAAGTACACGCTAACGCACCCCTACCCTCAAACCCCATCATTACTCCCCCTCTCATCCACCAACACCCCTATCCGTTTAAAATCAAATAAACAGTGTCTTTTATTTTAAATACCATACATCAAAGAAAAGAAATATATCAAATAAATAAATAAATAAACAAAAGTAATTAAAATCAAATTACGTAACTAGTTAATAATAATTTAACTAATTATAAAATAAAATTAAATTAAAAATAAACAAAATAAAAATAATTAAAAAGTAAACAAATAATCAAATTACGTAACTCGTTAATAAAAATTACACAATATAAACAAAGTAATTAAATTAAACAACAAGTAAACAAACAAATTAAACAAAATAAAAATACAATCAAAGTAATTAAATTACGTAACTCGATAATAAAAATTAATTAAAAAATTTAAAAACTCAAACAAATAATCAAATTACGTAACTCGTTTATAAAAAATTAATTAAAATTTTTAAAACTCATTAAAACTAATTAAAAAACACATTAAAATTACGTAACTCGATAATAAAAATTAATTAAAAATTTAAAAACTCATTAAAACTAATTAAAAAATACATTAAAATTACGTAACTAGGTCAAAAATTAATTAAAATTTTAAAAATTCATTAAAACTAATAAAAAAACACATTAAAATTACGTAACTAGGTCAATGATTACGTCATAATGTTACTAATTACGTCACAAGGTCAATGATTACGTCACAAGGTCACCCAAAGGTGACTCACCCTTCACTCCTCCGCCACCCTAGTTGGCGTAGTATTTTACTATATGTCGTTGTACCTTCACCCTTCGCTCCTCACCCAGTCTCTGCGCCAGGCTCACCCAGGCGGGTGAGTATTTTACTATATGTCATTGTCCCTGCAGCTCCTCCGCCAACACCAGTTGGCGTAGTATTTTACTATATCTCGTTGTCCCGCCGGCGCATCCTGCTCCACCACCCTTACCCTCCCGATGCGCCAGGCTGGGAGTATTTTACTATATCTCATTGTCCCTTCACCCTCCGCTCCTCCCGAGTATTTTACTATATGTCATTGCTCCTCCCACCAGCTCCTCACCCTCCGCCATGCGACCCAAAAGCGACCTAATATACTACTCTCTACATGTTTACATACTTTAATCAGTGTGTAGGGTGCAGTGGAATAGAATGTATGATATCTGATGTCATGGGCTCAAGGCTTATTAAATAAACATACACCCAGTGCTAACCAAACTAGTTAATAGCTTTCTATAAACATCTGCTGGTGCCAAAAAAAAGCAAGCTATTATTATGCAACTATTGAATGTATACCTTGTTACTGCTGACATAAGGCTGGCATGTGTGAACTTGACCAGTCACTGCCCTCTACCTTACACACACAACACTGACCCCTGGTCAACCTCAAGGTCAACCTTCTCTCTCCAGCAAGGATCAATTAGTCATGTTTGTGATTGCATTTCTAATTAGGTCAATCGGTCATTAAGTGTTCTGTAACTGGGTTTGTTTTCTTGGCTAAGGATATTGGTTTGTGGTCAGTGGTTTTGTTGGTTGTCAGTGAATGAGGTCATATGTTTGAATAGGTCAGAATACACAGCTAATTATAGGCCTACACAAGTTTTGACTTGCCTTCATTGGCCAGTTACACTCTGGTATTAGAAACTGCTGCCTTAGAACACATGCTTGTCTTGTTCTTATTTTAAAGACATTTAACTATACAATAAAACAAATTATCATAATATAACAGAATTTTTAAAAAAATATAATATAGCAAAACACAGTATAATAATGCAACATAATAATAATACAACATAATAATATAACATAATAATACAACATGATACAATAATGAAACTACAATAATTATAATACAAGAATACTAATATAGTAATAATAATATTTTTAATACCATAATAATAGTACTTCCGTTGGCCAGGTATTCTACTTACATACAAGTTCATGCTAAATATAATATAAATACACAATACCAAAAGTACAGTCTGTTACAAATAATAACATTACAATTATAATAATATAATAATAATAACAAATAATAACAGTACAATAATAAAAATACAATAAAAAAATACAATAATAATAACAAAATAATAATTAAAAAAAAAAACAACTAAATAATACAGCAACAAAATAATAATATAACAAAAAAATTAATTATCACAATAATACACCAACACAAAGCAATTAAGGATCACAAAGCAATGCACATCAATGTTGAGACATTAAAACTATTCCTTTCTTGTCCACAGGGAGCAACCAATCTTCACCACACGGGCCCATGTGTTCCAGATTGACTCGGCCACCAAGAAGGAGTGGGTGCCGGCCAGCAAGACATCGGTCAGTGTCTCCTACTACTACGACAGCGCCAGAAACACCTACAGGATCATCAGCGTGGATGGTTCCAAGGTCAGCCGTCATGATGTAATGCTGCCATCTCAGTCTTACGTGTTCTGTTTTAGTATCACGGTTTGGTTGAGATGTATGTTATGTGTGATTGTGGCTTATGGTGATAGTCAGACAGATTTGTTAGCATTTAGTGCCCCTGCTCTGGTTGGTGGAGATCACAGCTGATTCTTAGCTCACATTTACCCAGGCTCTGCTATAACAATGCTACTTGACAAGATTGGCCTATTTGTCTCCCTTGTACTCTACTATAACAATCCAACTTAGAAAAGACTTGTTATGTCAATAAAAATTTTACTTCCAGGTTCTTTTTTTTTTTGGCCTACTCAGCTCAATTTAATGCCCAGCATCAGTTAGAGAGAAATTAAATCACGTGGCAAGTGCAATTGCACAGACTTCTTTAATGACACGGCCACCAAAATAAATGTACTCTACTTCATCTTTCCTATAGACCCTCATGACTTGACAGAGAACTTTATATAAGTCACTTCCTCCACCTCATTTACACTGTGAGCAACAACCACAGATGTGAAGGCTATTCTTGTCTTATTTCACAGAAGATCTACTCAATCAAAAAAGATAGTTTTTTTTATGTAAGACAGACAAGCAGTCAATCAGGCAAAATTTGGATTTAAAACTTTCCCAGACCTGCATTCATAAAACTGATTTCCCCACCTGAAGAATTGGATTTAAAACTTTCTCAGCCCTGCATTCATTAAACTAATTTCCCCACCTGAAGAATTGGATTTAAAACTTTCCCAGACCTGCATTCATTAAACTGATTTCCCCACCTGAAGAATTGGATTTAAAACTTTCTCAGCCCTGCATTCATTAAACTAATTTCCCTACCTGAAGAATTGGATCTAAAACTTTCCCAGACCTGCATTCATTAAACTGATTTCCCTACCTGAAGAATTGGATCTAAAACTTTCCCAGACCTGCATTCATTAAACTGATTTCCCTACCTGAAGAATTGGATCTAAAACTTTCTCAGCCCTGCATTCATTAAACTGATTTCCCTACCTGAAGAATTGGATCTAAAACTTTCCCAGACCTGCATTCATTAAACTGATTTCCCTACCTGAAGAATTGGATCTAAAACTTTCTCAGCCCTGCATTCATTAAACTGATTTCCCCACCTGAAGAATTGGATCTAAAACTTTCTCAGCCCTGCATTCATTAAACTGATTTCCCCACCTGAAGAATTGGATCTAAAACTTTCTCAGCCCTGCATTCATTAAACTGATTTCCCCACCTGCTCATAAACAACCTTTTGTGCGTGGGATTCCTTCAAACTGCTCATCTTACAGATACTAGGTCTAAGTTCTACCTACAGATGTCCTCCCACATAAAAGATATCTACCCACATTTTTTTTTATTTGCCAGATAAGCCCTTGCCAACTTGGTCTTGATAGAGCCAGAAAAAAAACTCCAAGAATGTAACATTTTTATTGACATTTAGATTCTCTGCAGCCTATGTTTAAAATCCTCATCTTTGACCCGGCTGTAACTAAAGTTGTGTTTTCATGCAGGATGAGAAACAAACAGAGACATTTGCTGAAGAGATGGAGGGGGTGGGAGGTGGAGGGGGTGGGAGGTGGGGGGCATGACTTGCACAAAAAACAGCTTTCCCCCTGTCCTTCATAAACCAACAACTCAGTTTTTGTTTTAGGCAACATGTCAAGCTCAAATTTGAACAATGTTATTTTTTTTTCCTCCCCCTCCCTCTTGTATGTACATTTGTCACCTCCAACTAGACCCCTGGGGGGGGGGGGGGGAGGAGTCAGGAAAAAATATTCCGTTCAGTATTTTTAGGTTTAAGAAGGGAGAAAGTTTGGTTGAGGTGGAGGGGGTGGGGGATCAGGAGATCTGACTGGAGATCTGACATTTTAATTTGACTTTTGGTGTGACCTCAAAAAAGGCAAAAGTTACACATTTTTTAAATTATTGGTTGTCATGGTAACTGTAATGCTGGTTAACAGTTACATTGACAACATTTTAAATGGATTTTTTTTGTCTTTCTTAAACCCAAGTTTTACACTCGAAAATAAAACTTCTTTGTTTAGAGAGTATATTAGATTGAGCTATTTTAGGGTTGGTAGCACCACATAATAGCGTGGGTTTGTGATAGGGTTAGTATTAAGGTTAGACTTGTGTAACTTGAAGGGTTTGTGATAGGGTTAGTGTTAAGGTTAGACTTGCCTAACAGGTGGGGTAATGTACAAGTTTCTATCAGGATCTTTAATCCCTCTTAGATTTTTTCCTGTCAGCGAATTGCCAGATTGTACACAAGTGTGATTGCTATGTTGTGGCTATGTCTGAGATTATGTGATGTTAAATTAACATAGAGTTTACTCACTCATGCATATTACACAGTGGTTGTCACAATTAATACACAGTGGTTGTCACAATGTAATTTTGATAACAAGTATTGACACATTTCTTGTCTAAGTGTTGTGAATATAACTGTTGACATGTTTTATGCCTAAGAGTTATGACTCTAGCTATTGACACATTTTTGTCTAAAAACAAAAAACCGTTGACAAGTTATCTCACAGCAAACGCAGCAGACGCCATTAATAAACCTGTTGGCTTTGTCTCATCAGGCTATTGTCAACAGCACAATCACCCCCAACATGACCTTCACAAAAACATCCCAGAAGTTTGGCCAGTGGTCAGATCCCAGGGCCAACACTGTCTATGGCCTGGGGTTTGCCACAGAACAGGAGCTGACCAAGGTGAGCTTAACCTTTTTTTTTTCTTGCTTTGATGTGAAGCTCCTAATGGAGCTGGGTCTATTCAAAGGTCAGGGGTCATTATTGATTTAGAGAGGAAAATAAAAAAGTTGTAAGGTCAAGTGTGAGTGTAGATACAGATGGATCATAAGGTCAAGTAAGGATAACACTTTACCTCCCCCATCTATGCACATGCGCACATATATTACATGCGCACCACACACATACCACACTCAGAGGCGTATCCAGGTTTTCGTTGTAGGGGGAGCGAAAAGAGCAAAAAAAGGCGCCGAATTTTTAACACGTTCTATATACGTGTATTATATATATATATATATATATATATATATATATATATATATATATATATATATATATATATATATATATATATATATATATATATATATATGTATATATATAATTATTAGCTGTATGTCTTTACTTCGCTATGATGTAAAATAAATTGAAAGTAGCACTCTGAAGAAATAAGAAAAAACACACAATGTAGGCCGACAAAACAAAAATTGTATCAATCTAAACAAAAAAAAATATACACACACTACAACCAAAAACAATGAACGTAACACAATCTGTTTTGTGATTCTTGTTTAAAAAATTATTACATAATAATTCCTGGGAAATTATTTAAGACAAGTGAAATACGGCAAATAGTTACTATCTTAATATAAATATGTATATATCTACACATTTAATTATAAATGTCATAACAAATAAATAATTACTTTAGAATATAATAAAATTGTTTAACACCATTCGTGCTTACAAAATGTTTTTGTCTATAATCAGACTTCAATATATCGTCATCATAAATGCTAAAGTATTACAGCATAATGAAAGTTTTTAAAATCAGAGTTGGTATAAAACCACGCTTTTCGATACAATGGAAAAACATTCGGAAAAACAGCCTACATTTAACTAAATATCGCTCTCTTAGTTCAGATCATATATTTTTAACTAACTACTGCTTCTTTTTGTTCTATAAAGATCTTTTTTTAACATAGTGTTAGGTATGGGTTAGATCACTGTATTGATCACACACCTTTTCACTGGTAATTGCAAAAACAATATTTAGAGAGTTTTACGTTTAAAAAGTCAATTTTCTGGCGGCATGGTACTTTAGTACATCATTACGCGTTTTTCTACATGTACTTAACAGATCAGTTCGGGGTGGGTTGAGGGGGGGGGGGGGGGTTCAACTTCATTCACCACTGTCCGGTCAATTATCCAACCCAGTGTATACCTAGGTGTGACATTAATGTCGCTCTACACAATTGTGGTGGTGAGGTGTGTGTGTAGGGGGGGGGGGGGGGGGGGAGATAACCAACTCAGAGTGAACATAGCTTAAGTTTTTAGATGACTGTTCAAAAAATACATATATATTACACAAATATATATTACACAAATATATATACTACAGAAATAGATTTAAATAAGTAGCAGTGGTATTATGACAATATTTTTTTTACAGAGGGGTCCTTGGGGGAGGGGGGGGGGTTGTAACTGTTTCATATAATTTGTAATCGTAATCAATATCGCCCAAACTGTAAGAATAGTAATACTTCATCGTGATGACGTCAAAATTTCCCCACCACTACTCAGTTTGCTCATAAGTAAATTTAAATAGAGGTGCCACATCAGTTGTATTTATTTCTGTATTGTAATTTTTAAAAAAATTAATCACACGATTCAAACTGTATATATAAAGTAATTATGTGTGAAGTTTCATGTATATAGGGGACGGAGTGGTCTAGCGGTAGAGAGCTGGACTGCTAACCCGCAAGTCTCGAGTTCGAATCCGGGTTCAAGTCAGCAGACCGTCCCTGAGTCCACCCAACTGATGGGTACCTAACTCACGTTAGGAAAAGTAAAAGCGGCTGGGCATAGTGCTGACCACACTATCTCTTCATACTCCGAGGTCACAGAAACAAGTGAACTCTACATCACTTGCCCCTTAGACCGTCAGGTTTGAAAGGGAAACTTTTATGTATAACATTTTCTAATTCAATTATTCGTAAGCAAATACATTATACAGTTGCCTTTAACTTTACACCCCTCTTGCCAGGTGGTACTACCCGTAGAGGTTTTTTAAACATTGCAATGCATCGTAATGGTTTATTTTTAGAATGGCAAACTGATGCAGCTGTTACTACGTGTTGTAAACATAGACACTACTAGACTAGTACAATGATGCTTAATTGCTGCATGAAAAGAAGTCTTGTGGTTTACATAGTTGTGCCGACCAAAAATATTTTTTACAAATATTATTGTTTAAAACTTTGAGTTTAAAAAGTTTCCAAAAAGGCGCCACTTTGCTGAAAATGGCCAGAGGGGGAGCGGCCGCTCCCCCTGCTCCCCCCCTGCGTACGCTACTGATTGTACACACACACACCACATATAAACACACCATTTACCTACAAATACACCTCACATACACACACCACTCACCATTCGCACCACATGCACACACTCAAGCACACACAAGCAACATGTGCACCACTCACCATACACACACCGCTCACTATACATATCACACATATACACATGACACATACACACACCACACATACACACAACACACACACACACCACTGCAGACCCACCACACTTCCCCCCCTATTTATCTAAGCAAAACAAAAATGATACACATCCCCAGTTTACAAAACATGTCAAATTAAATGACCTGGTAATTAGCAATCAGTTCATTGAAACCTAGACTAAACAACACCCACACAAATGATATCATTAAATGCAACCCACCACACTCCGCATACACCACATTGTGTGTGTATTTAATGTCTTTTCTTTCTCATTTTCAAAAAGTAGTACAGTATATGTATTTCAGTTCAATGAAAGATGTTTGATTATTAATTGATAAAGCTAATTAATGTAGACAAGGCTGAGACTTGAGCCAATCAAAAGTTCAATAGCCCATCCTGTAGCATCCTGTGTGTAAATACTAAAGGGACACTACCTTTGTCAAAAGCTTGTCCTAATCTCTACTCAAACAGTGAAAACCTCGTGTGGACCAGATATTTGATTATTAATTGATTGAGTTAATTAATGTAGACAAGGCTGAGGCTTGAGCCAATCAAAAGTTCAATTGCCCAGCCTGTAGCATCCTGTGTGTAATGGGAGACTACCTTTGTCAAAAGCTTGTCCTAATCTCTACTCAAACAGTGAAAACCTTGTGTGGACCAGATAGATCACTATCTCAATACCATCAGTCACAGACAACTCTTTGATGTATTTTCTTTTTAAACAAACACATTTGCCCTTTTACCTCCCCTTCTACTCCCCCTCCCCTCCCCCAATTCACTCAATCCACACCCCCAACAACTGGGACAAGCCTTGAAACAGAAATGATAGTCCAGGGTTATTCTAAAACATTTATTACTTTAGCTTGAACTCAAACTTTTGATTCCTTAACTTTGGTGGCACACTACTACAGCATGTTAACTCCAAATTAAAATTACATTTTTTGTGTGTCTTTATTTGACAATTATTTTTATCATAAGAATGGGCTACCCGGTGACTGAGGTTATATTTTTAAAATTGGCTATTTCATGTCAACTAGGATTTAGCTACTATTTTGTTGGTTGATTTTGGCTACCCTTGTAACAAGTGGGTTTTGCTACACTTTGACAAGTGAGTTTTAATACAAAAAAACAAGTGGGTTTTAATACAAAAAAACAAGTGGGTTTTGCTACACTAAAACAAGTGGGTTTTGCTACACCAAAACAAGTGGGTTTTGCTACAACCTGACAAGTAGGTTTTGCTACACCCTGACAAGTGGGTTTTGCTACACCATGACAAGTGGGTTTTGGCTACCCTGTGACAAATGGGTTTTGCTACAGCCTTACAAGTGGGTTTTGCTACCCTGTGATAAGTGTGTTTTGCTACCCTGAGACAAGTAGGTTTTGCTACACCCTGACAAGTGGGTTTTGCTACAGCCTTACAAGTGGAATTTGGCTACCCTGTGGCGAGTGTGTTTTGCTACCCTGTGACAAGTGGGTTTTTGCTACCCTGTGGCAAGTGGGTTTTGCTACCTTGTGATTAGTGGGTTTTGCTACCTTGTGATAAGTGGGTTTTGGCTACCCTGTGGCAAGTGACTATTTCATGTCACCTGGGGATTGGCTAAAATGTTGTTGGTTGGTTTTGGCTACCCTGTAACAAGTGGGTTTTGCTACACCCTGACAACTGGGTTTGCTACACCCTGACAAGTGGGTTTTGCTACCCTGTAACAAGTGGGTTTTGCTACACCCTTACAACTGGGTTTGCTACACCCTGACAAGTGGGTTTTGCTACACCCTAACAAGTGGGTTTTGCTACCCTGTAGCAAGTAGGTTTTGCTACACCATGACAAGTAGGTTTTGCTACACCCTGTAGCAAGTAGGTTTTGCTACACCCTGTAGCAAGTAGGTTTTGCTACACCCTGACAAGTGGGTTTTTAAAACAGGAGCCCACTTGTTACAAAAAAAGAGTCAGCTTGCCACTGAGCAAATGCAACAAATGTTTGATTGCAGCAGCGATCAGATTTTGTTGTCAAACACAGGATGTTGGGTAAGACATTACCTTTGTTGACTCGCCAGTTAGGACACTTGTCCTCTTCCTGTAGCTTCTCCACTGTTGACACGACCTGGTTCTCACCTTTTTTCTCTTTACCTGAGCTGAAGCGGACACAGGTGTAATTGGTTTAGTGGCACTTCTAGCTGTAATAGTGACACTTCTAGCTGTAATAGTGGCACTTCTTGTTGTATTAGTGGCACTTTTTGCCATGTTATTGGCACTTCTTGTCATATTAGTGGCACTTTTGTCATGTTCCTATCGCATTATCTTGTACGAGCCGGCCCGCGGCATAACATACACCGCTATTTAGTTGTTTCTAATTTTCAATAATTAATAATTTGTGAATTCGACAGTACCAACGCTGACACTGAAAATATTTCTTTAAAACACTATAAGTAGCTCGTTAAGGACCATAACCCCCCCCCCCTTCCTTCCCTCCCCCCCCTCCTCCCCCCCCCCCCCCCCCTACGTTTAAAATCGTTGGCTCTGCTTGTAAACATTTAGAGTGAACACAGCTCACTAAAACCATGTAGGGGTGGGGAGGTAGGGAGAGCGTTTGCAGCTTGTTTTCTAACGGCTCGAAGAAGAGAATTATATATATAGAAGATTAGTTTATTGATATCAAGGTGGGGAGGAGGGGCGAGTCTGTTAAGACAATGCTTAATTTGTGCAGAAGGTGGGGGAGGGATATTTGAACAAAGCTAACTCTGAGCTAGAAAAGTTCAACATGGCTGCTAGAATCAGGTGAATCAAGTCTTGTTGCTGGATAGGGTCAAAGGTTGAGAGGGTCAAAGGTTGTTTTGTTTGGCAACATTCAATCCAAAAACTGAAGACAAAATAATACTTTAAAATAATTTTTTTTACCTCACATTCGGTACACAATATCAAATCATTTCTGCTCTTATCTTATGATTTACATATATAAAACTTGGTTTAGAAATTGTCCGATTTTTAGAAGAATTAAACCGAATTTTTTAAAAATTTCAGACATTTTTTGTGTGTTGATGCCTTGTTAGGTTTTAATGTGATTTGTGTTCCTTTTATATGTTATTTCAAATTTACATCCTCATCCCTGAAATATTTCACTTCATAGAAAAATTGATAAATTCTGTTCTGATTCATGTCAGTTCATAGAAAAATCTGATAAATTCTGTTCTGATTCTTTTCAGTTCATAGAAAAATTGATAAATTCTGTTCTGATTCTTTTCACTTCATAGAAAAATTGATAAATTCTGTTCTGATTCTTTTCAGTTCATAGAAAAATTTATATGATAAATTCTGTTCTGATTCATTTCAGTTCATAGAAAAAGTGATAAATTCTGTTCTGATTCATTTCAGTTCATAGAAAAATTGATAAATTCTGTTCTGATTTATTTCAGTTCATAGAAAAATGTATATGATAAATTCTGGTCCCTGATTCATTTCAGTTCATAGAAAAATTGATAAATTCTGTTCTGATTTCAGTTCATAGAAAAATTTAAAGAGATCAAAGAACTGACCAGACAGGCAGCAGGGCTGAAGCAGCCAGAGGTGAATGGCACTGACAACCACGCACCATCCCCACAGCCAACCAGACAGACAATGCATCAGAGAACCAACAGTCTTTCATCCATCCAGGTCAGTGGTCCGTCAATCTTTGTATCTAGGTCAGTGGTCCATCAATCCTTGTATCTAGGTCAGTGGTCCATCAATCCTTGTATCTAGGTCAGTGGTCCATCAATCCTTGTATCTAGGTCAGTGGTCCATCAATCCTTGTATCTAGGTCAGTGGTCAATCAATCCTTGTATCTAGGTCAGTGGTCCATCAATCCTTGTATCTAGGTCAGTGGTCCATCAATCCTTGTATCTAGGTCAGTGGTCCATCAATCCTTGTATCTAGGTCAGTGGTCCATCAATCCTTGTATCTAGGTCAGTGGTCCATCAATCCTTGTATCTAGGTCAGTGGTCCATCAATCCTTGTATCTAGGTCAGTGGTCCATTAATCCTTTTATCTAAGTCAGTCATATCTAGGTCAGTGGTCAGTCAATCCTTTGTATATGAAGGGATAGTGTGGCCAGCGCTATGCCTTGTCATCTTTACTTTCCCTAACTTAACACAGGTACTCATTAAAGCTGGGTGGTCTCAGGGACATCCGACAAACAAGCCCAGCATCCAAACTTGAGAGTTTAGAGTTAGCAGTCAAACTCTCTACCATTTGACTACTCGTTCAGCATCATGTGTTAGCATATTTTTCAGCTACTGTGGAACCCAACTCTTGATTCATCAAAAATATATTTATTATTATTTTTTTGTTTCCCTTTTAGTTGAAATATCTGAACCACACCTCCCATCTTTTCTTCCGTGTGTATCTAGATGCTGCTATATTTTTTTCAAGTTCAATATAAAATAAAATAAAAATTTTGTCGTACTGTGTTTTATGAATGTTTTCTTATTTCAAGATGGAGACAGCTGATGTAACTTTTTTTGTGCTTGACTTTATGCTCTGTTTACTTTACAGAATGAGTCTGGAAGTCTTCGAGAGAGGCGCAATTCTTTTACACAAGGAGGAACAAATGGCCTCCCTGCCAGCACCTCCACAGAGGCTCAGCTCAAATATGAGAACGACCGTCTCAAGCTGGCATTAGCTCAAAGGTACACAGAATAGTTGTGTAAATAGATGTGTTCTATTTAAGGTACACAGAATAGTTAAGTAAATAGGTTTTACCAAAGGTATACAGAATAGTTGTGTAAATAGATGTGTTCTATTTAAGGTACACAGAATACTGTGTAAATAGCATAAAAACACACAGAATCATTTTGTAAATAGAAGTGTTTTACTAAAGGTACACAGAATAATTGTGTCAATAGAACTGTTTTACTAAACGTACACAAAAACTTCTGTAAACAAAGTTGCAGCAGAATAGTTGTGTAAATAGAAACTTTTTACTTCTTTATTGATACAAATGATCTGGAATGCAAATAAAATTGGGTATATTTTGTTTTGATGATATATATACATATTCTAATGGTGTTAACATTCCGATTGTGTTTATTGTTGAATTGATAGTTCAGCTAATATAAAATTATGATTGTGTTTACTGTTGAACTTGATAGTTCAGCTAACATAAAAATATGATTGTGTTTCCTGTAAAACTTGATAGTTCGGCTAACATAAAAATATGACTGTGTTTACTGTAAAACTTGATAGTTCAGCTAATATAAAATTATGACTGTGTTTACTGTAAAACTTGATAGTTCGGCTAATATAAAATTGTGGCTGTGTTTCCTGTAAAACTTGATAGTTCGGCTAATATAAAAATATGATTGTGTTTCCTGTAAAACTTGACAGTTCAGCTAACATAAAATTATGACTGTGTTTACTGTAAAACTTGATAGTTCAGCTAATATAAAATTATGACTGTGTTTACTGTAAAACTTGATAGTTCGGCTAATATAAAATTATGACTGTGTTTACTGTAAAACTTGACAGTTCGGCTAATATAAAAGTATGATTGTGTTTACTGTAAAACTTGATAGTTCGGCTAATGCCAAGAAGTGGGAGGTGGAGCTCCAGACCTTGAAGAACAACAACGCCCGCCTGACAGCAGCACTACAGGAGAGTACAGCCAACGTGGAGGAGTGGAAGAAACAGCTGGCCGCCTACAAGGAAGAAAGTGTGAGGTTGAAAAAAAGAGTAAGTTAATTTTTTGTATGGTAAAAGAGAAATTCATGAAAAATTCATCCATTTAGCTTAACATATATTAACATATAGCATGAGATACGGATTTTTAAAGTGAGTTGTGAAAATAGGTTATGAATTTAGGTGTGCAAAAAGTGTTATGAATAAAGGTTTGGAAATAGTGTTATGAAAGTATGGAAATAGTGTTATGAATTAAGATGTGAAATTAGTGGTATGAATTAAAAAGGTGTGAAAATTGGGGGGAAAAAAGATGTGGAAATAGTGTAAAATAAAGGGTGTTGAAATAGTGTGTTTGTTATTTTGACGATGTGTTTTCATGTCTGACAGCTGCTGGACCATGACAAGGGTGCTGGGGGGGACCCCCTGATGGTGGGTCAGCTGACTGACCAGCTGGAGAGGATTCGCCTTGAGAACCATAACAAACAGGAGGTAAGTCATTGCTGGGTCACACTCTCTAACCAATGGGAGGGTCAAGACATCTGCACTGTAGTCATGGCAACCAGCTAGGCTAGGCAGCAATATTTCCTTTCTTTTAAAACATGACAGAACATAGAGATGGGCTGGTGATATTTAAGATGTAATGGTTATTTGGTGGTGAGATATTATTGTTACAGACTGGTAATATAGAATGGTTATGGACTGGTAAGATGTAATGGTTATTTGGTAGTAAAATAATATCGGTACAGACTGGTAACATAGAATGGTTATGGGCTGGTAAGATGTAATGGTTTACCAAGGCGCTAAATTACACCTGTAGCCTACCAGCTGTGTAATAAAGCAAGCTGCAGTATGGTGTCATGTTTTTATAATCTGTAGGAGATCAAACGATTAACGAGTCAGCTTCAAGAATTTGCACTTAAAGATGCCCAGGCTGCTTCATTACAGTCTAGAATCCAGGTGAGTCACACGAGCACAGGTGTGTGTGTAGAGCAGGTGTGTTCCTAGACACAGGTGTGTTTATAGAAATAGGTACCTTAATAGAAATAGGAATGTATTTAAAAGTTGAAAATTGGATAATTGTTGCATGTATCAATGCATTTTTTGGCATTAAGGTTATTTTTAAAAGCTCACGAAAAGTGAAAAACTAATGAGACCATGAACAGGTCAAATAGTTTTGTTTGCTGCTGAGGCTCTGCACTCTTCTTCTTCTTCTTTGTTCTTAATTATTTGTGTTGAAGGGGATCGAGATTTATCTGCCAGTGGGTTTGAACTCGAGACTTTGTTCGAATTTATCAACCATGAGCTTTTTGCCGACTCGACCATGCCTCCAAAACAATTAAGCGTTACGTGTCAACTGGTTATGCGCCATTGAGGCCATTGACTCCGATTTCAGCCTGCTTTTCTTTTTTGGATTTGCTTCCATAGCCTTTGTCCAACCAAGAACAAACTAACTACAAGGCAGCAGTTGTTTAATTTTGGAGTTGTCTCTCCTAGAAGAGTGGCTGTCTCCAGCTAACGAGCCTCATCTGCCCGAGGGTTCGAACTCGAGACTTTTCGGTTTAGCAACCATGAGCTTTCCCGACTCGACCACGCCGACCCTTGGCTCTGCACAATGTGAAAATATTCTGCCTTTGGATAAGCAATTTTAAAATGTTAAAAAAAAAAATGTCTTATGTGGTCGGAAATGTAACTTATTAATTATAACAAAATCCTTATTTTCCACTTGGTTATATGAAAATAATTTGTGGAGAAATGGTTGATTACTCTTAAAGTTTACCATCCCATAGTCAAGGTAGTCCCTCAGTTTTAACTTAATGAGGACATTTAAACATATTTTATTGAAGATAGACACACACTATTGAAAGTCGTTGTTTTAAAGTGGTACCAACAAAACAAAAAAAACTGTAACATCCGACTAGTTAAAATAAAAACAAAAAATGTTTCAGACTCTGGAAGAAGAGAATCATTCTCTGAGCCTCCGCCTGCAAGACAGTGGTACCAACAAAATAAAAAAACCTGTAACAACTAATAAAAAAAAAAACAAAAAATGTTTCAGACTCTGGAAGAAGAGAATCATTCTCTGAGCCTCCGCCTGCAAGACAGCCAGAGACAGCTGCAGGAATGTAGGTCATCAAAGGAGCAGGATTCCAGGGAGCTGGTACGGCTTCAGGAAATCCTTGGCGCCAAGCTCTCAGAGCTGTACGACACCCATGAGACGATTCTCTCAGTCATCAGGAGGGAATCCAACAGCTAGCTTGTTGTGGTAGGTTGTTTATGGCTGTCTATAGCTAGCTTGTTATGGTAGGTTGTTTATGGCTGTCTACAGCTAGCTTGTTATGGCTGTCTACAGCTAGCTTGTTATGGTAGGTTGTTTATGGCTGTCTACAGCTAGCTTGTTATGGCTGTCTAAGCTAGCTTGTTATGGTAGGTTGTTTATGGCTGTCTACAGCTAGCTTGTTATGGCTGTCTACAGCTAGCTTGTTATGGTAGGTTGTTTATGGCTGTCTACAGCTAGCTTGTTATGGCTGTCTAAGCTAGCTTGTTATGGTAGGTTGTTTATGGCTGTCTACAGCTAGCTTGTTATGGCTGTCTACAGCTAGCTTGTTATAGTAGGTTGTTTATGGCTGTCTACAGCTAGCTTGTTGTGGTAGGTTGTTTATGGCTGTCTACAGCTAGCTTGTTATGGTAGGTTGTTTATGGCTGTCTACAGCTAGCTTGTTATGGTAGGTTGTTTATGGCTGTCTATAGCTAGCTTGTTATGGTAGGTTATTTATGGCTGTCTACAGCTAGCTTGTTATGGTAGGTTGTTTATGGCTGTCTATAGCTAGCTTGTTATGGCTGTCTACAGCTAGCTTGTTATAGTAGGTTGTTTATGGCTGTTTACAGCTAGCTTGTTATGGATGTCTACAGCTAGCTTGTTATGGTAGGTTATTTATGGCTGTCTATAGCTAGGTTATTATGGCTGTCTTCGGCTTGCTTGTTATGGCTGTCCAGCTAGCTTGTTATGGTAGGTTATTTATGGCTGTTTACAGCTAGCTTGTAATGGCTGCATGACATTGGGTATTTGTTGGTGGTCGTTCATATACTTTTAATTTTTTTTTTATTATTTTAACATGACATCATACTGTTTAGATTTTCTAATAATCCATTCAATAATTATTTCTTTTCCAGCTACAGCTAGACCGCAAGTATTTTCAAATCACAGGAAGCGAGAGATTGACCTGTAGTTGATTGGAAGCAAGAGATTGACCTGTAGTTGATTGGAAGCAAGAGATTGACCTGTAGTTGATTGGAATGGCTGAATGTTGATCTACACAGGGACACTGTTTAAAGTTTCTCACTTATCTTAGCAAATCTCTTGTGTGGTTGTGCACATCATCAATGTGGTTGTGCTCATGACACATGTGGTTGTGCTCATGACACATGTGGTTGTGCACATCATCAATGTGGTTGTGCTCTTGACACATATGATTGTGCTCATCACAAATATGGTTCCTGGAATTGCCGTCCTATTCATATATCATTTCTCATCATGTGGAGATATTTTTATCAAATTTGCGCTGACAAATGAACTCACTGATCTGAACACCCTTCATTGTTTTCTCACCTTATTCTTTGTGCGCTTTATCATCAAATGTTAATTTACAATTCTTGTGTAAGAGGAGAAAAATAATAGTTATAGATCTGTGTAGTAAAGAGACATTGATGTGAGTTTAATGTAAAACAGATGGTCAAATTTTATGTTCAATACATGCAAATGTCACTGTTGTTGATAGATAGATTATTTTCTTTTTGTGAATTTAAAAATCATCTGTGTAACTCTCCACAACATATCAGAGACAATTTGTATTTTATTTTACTATAACTTTATAATCTCTCAGTTGTATTTGGTTTTATTATACTCAAACTTGTTACTTATTTGTTTACTAATTAATTGATTAGGACGTTAAAGAAAGTAATTGTGTGATATTATCTTACATGAACTTGTTTTTTCTTGTAAGAAAACATCTCATGCTCTTCTGTTGTACAAATGCTAATGTCAATGTAATCAAATGAACAAATGAGTTTTTTTCTGTTAAATTTGGCTTTACATGTATTTAATTAATATAAGCAATTTTGCTGATTTTTTTTTTGTTTTCATTAATAAATTAGGGCTGTTCTCTGTGTAAATTGTGATTGATTTACTGCTAGAAAACAGCGCACTTAATTTTTTTTTTACTGTACATATATTAGATTTTAAAATTAACCAGTGTAGATGTTCCTGTTATGTGATTTCTTGAGATTTTTGGCCTGCGGTGCCAAACGAAAGTTGGATGTTCCAAATTTAATGTTGGTTATCATTGGTGGGGTTGCATTGGCGACTCACAGGCCAGATGGTATAGATTTTTTTAACAGCTTTGGTTGTGCAATGATGTCAGGCAGGGATGTATTGGCAATACCAGCACAAATGGTAGAAGTTGTGCAATAGTAGTTGGTAGGCAAGTTTAGTGGTGTTGATACAAAAGGGTAAATCTTGAAATAGTTAAGTGGTGTTGATACAGAATGGTGAATCTTGAAATAGTTAAGTTTAGTGGTGTTGATACGGAATGGTAAATGTTGAAATAGTGAAGTTTAGTAGTTTTGATACAGAATGGTGAATCTTGAAATAGTTACGTTTAGTGGTTTTGATACAGAATGGTGAATCTTGAAAATAGTAAAGTTTACTGGTGTTTATACAGTTTGGTAAATCTTGAAATAGTAAAGTTTAGAGGTGTTGATACAGGTCAGTGAGAATTGAAATAGCAAAGTTTAGATTTGGGTTAATGCTAATGTAGACACTGTCAGACTGTATACATTATTTTACAAGGGTTTACATTGGGATATTTTAGTTAGCATTTCAAAAGTTTAAAAAAAAAAATACTATTTTTTTCCCCGTCAGACAGAAAAAAAATATAAATTTTACTCATAACAGAAATAGATTTTATTCGGTCTTTCTCAAGTTGAAAAACTGGGATCAGTTTAAAAAAGATATTGATGAGATTACGGTTGACTCCAGCACTGAGTGAAGTAGGGAAGTCTGTAACACTTGAGATAGTCCTGGCTGGTAATACAAAATGTCAGCAGTTTAGTTGTTAAACTAGAACTTAGATAAACACAACAAAGTTCAGCTCAAAGTCTTCTTAGATGTTGACCAGTTATTTGCTGTTGGGGATTTTAAATATAACAAATGATGACAAACTTGAAAACCTTTGTATTATCTTATAAAGGACCCATGAGATCATCCATTTGTTTTAATCATTTTGTTTACTATGCTGCATAATTTGTTTATTTTTTGTGTTAATTTTAAAATAACAATAAAACAGAGGAGTGTAAACATGTCTACAATATAGACATGAAACCCATGAAATTGTTGCCTTAAACTAATGTTTTACTGATATTTATATCTCTTGCATAAATAACTTATTTGTTTGACTTGTAATATATGTCAGTCTATAGATATAAAAAATTATTAAGTGCTGTTCAAAATGTGTGACTATACTTTCTGTACTGTATATATCTGATATGTACTCAGTTTTGTACTCTTGAAATATATATATATATATATATATATATATATATATATATATATATACATATATATTGTATGCATAATACATATAATGTGTTGTCGCTAAAATCAGACCACAATGTAGCTCACATGTGATGTATATTTCTGACAAAGCATTTAGTTTTTATTGTACTGTAAAGCTCAGACTTTGTCCTTGGCATGATGTCCTAATTGTTAGCATAAGTCAGGGCAACAGATGGTGAGAAAACTAAAAAGTCATAGGACAGAATGCATTTCATAACAAAGAACAATAACTCTGTTAAAACTTGAAATGGATGCAACTGTTGTGACCTCTGAACTGTCTTAGAGGCCATTTCTCTCAAGGTAGCTACATATAATATATGAGCCACCTTACACTGTGTGTTACTTATCTATGTATATATGATTTAATACAGATGTTTAACACTGAACTTGATACTTGTATATTACTCACAATAAAGAGAAAATAAAATGTAACCCAACTATGAGAGTTTCTCTCTAGACCACGCTCTGGCTGTGTTTAGTTGAACTACCTAGATCTAACTTGCAGCTTTTTTTTTTAAATAAAAAATAATTGCTTCCTTTTTTCACATCTTGTCAAGAATTAAAACACTGCAGCATAACATTTTAAAATATTCATGATTGAGTTTTACAAACTTTTTTGACTATGCATTCGAAAGTAATAATTTTCTCTCAAGCTTGACTCAGTACCTGGTAGCTTAATGTTTGCAGGAAAACCTTTAAGTGCCTTGATTACATTTAGCATACTCTAAGCTTGTATTTCCCCTAATAGAATTACATTCTGAGTTTTAGACTAATGACAGAGAGCACTCACATGTCCCATTTTGCTGGGTACAGGTTCTGCATCTTATTGATGATATTCTTCTTTTAGTCTTAATTAATACTATCTTAATTAAGGAAATTATAAAATATTCACCAAGCTAACTCTCATATACTTATGTATACTTGTTATGTGTATACTTGTTATGTGTATGTGTGTACTAGTTTATAACTAAAACAAATTTCTCTGCTATGTTGTAGCCTGGCCTGGTTTTGTCAACCTGTTATGGTTTGTTATTATCTAAGCTTAGTAAAAACATAACACAAAATTATCTCAACCATCTTTTTCTGATTCACTTCTCAGCATTGATACCACAAACAGGAAAAAGGTCCATAGTTTGGGTCATTACATTATACAAATAATTAAAGGGATATTGATGTCACAATCCAAAATTGTAGTTTGACTTAAGACAACCGCTTCATAGCCTGGTCCTCAAACTTGGATTGACCAGTACCAGCAGCACTGGTGTGTTGTGTACATTTCAATAAAGTTGACCATGTGTTAAATAGTGAACAAAAAACTCATCACAATTGTTGTCAGAAAGGGGAATAATTACTCCTTGACATTTTTATCTAAGTAAATATCTATCACTATCAAATTCTTCATGTAATGTGTAAATGTATGGTCTTAAACAGCATGTTATTAATGTAATTGAATTTCATAACAAAAAACAATAAGAATTTGTCTCATCAAAATATTTAATACAATAAAATTTTCAAAGCCCATGAAACTAATGGAAGGTTCACAGTATTGCACAGTAATGTATTCAAATGGAAAATGACAACTATACTTCTTGCCAACAATTTAAAAGTAATAAATAGTCCCAGGAAAATAAATTGTATCAAATAGCTAGTTCCAAGTTAAACAAAAAAAAGTTTAGCTTACAAAGAAACTGTATCAGCAATGGCATAAAATTATTTCATTGAAATGGAACTTCACTTGCAGTTTAAAAACTAACAACTTTGTGGCTTTTAATATCATAAAAATAACTTGACATACATAACCTGTAAACAAGGGATGGCATATAACTGATATCATCAAAGTTGTATGATTTCAATGATCTATAAATGGAATAATCTGGATTGGAAAATTGAGTTGTCTAGGTTATCCAATAGTGAATAGATTTTATGAAGATGCATAGACAAAACAGTTGCTATACCTGGTAGAAAAAACCCTGTTACCCAACCCTAATGATAGGTGATCAAAGAGTGAGCCTTTTGATTTCATATCAGGTGTTGAGATTCATTGATTTCATATAGACATCAGGTGTTGAGATTCATTGTCACCATTATTTATGTATATCTATTCATGTAAAAATAAACATTGAGACTAACATAAGCATAGCCTACACTGGTTTGTTTGATTTTTTGACAGGAGAAATATCAACAAAAGCATCTTTTAAACATTATGAATAGCCATTCACTGATTTTTACACCAGTTTTCTGTTTACATTTTTACAAAAATGCTTGCATTTTGCAAACAAGATCTAAATAATAATGCAGAGATTTTTTTCTCTACTTCAAACTAACTTGGCAGCTTTATAAATAGAGGAAGTAATGGATTTTTTTCATTAAATAAACATGTAAAAATAAAACTATACAAGCATCACAGGACATGGTCTATAAAAAGTTGATAGTTTCAACAAGTGACTAGATGGAGAGCTAAACAGCAGCTCTAGTGAGAGCTAAACAGCAGCTCTGGTGGGACATTCTTGAGCTGCACTTAGCCATGGATTCTTCACATAATGTGATGGACACACAAAAATGATGTATTTAATGATATAATCAACTTTGTTTCTTACGCATTTTTAGCGTCTAGTTTCCAGAAATACCCTTTAAAAACAGCAGAGTATTATGCTATTTATTTCAGTGTTGTACTACAGCAGATAGCTCCAGGCTAAATCCACTGTATATTGTCAGCTCCAGGCAAAGAAGCAGCGTACATTGTCAATGTCCTGGTAAAGTTATAGAGTGATGCACTCCAGCATCCAGCTGTCATGTAAAAATGTTTTTAAAAACAAACTTTCATATAAATGCAAGTGTAGAAAATATCTACAAAATATAATCACACTGGATTGTAAAGCTGTCCAACACGTCACAAAACTTCACTAGCACAGTTCTTACATCTGTAAAAGGTGAGAACTAAGCTTTAAAAGGACCCGCTCATTTGGTTTCTACACAGGCATGTTCAAACAACAGACCACAACACATTGAGTTATCACACCACATGTGTGCATCTCACTGTGTTTTGTGATTCTTACCAATCAACAATCATTGTTTAAAACAATATAGAAAATATGTACAATTAAAACACAAAATTCTAATCATTAGGTACATGTATAAATTAACTTGCATAACTAACAGTTATGGTCAATATATTACATTTTTTGCATGAATAAAAAAAAAATCAAAGAAAATAATCAACAACTTAATAAAGCTGTGATACTCTAACTTCAAAAAGTAAACAATACACCATTTGTTCTACAAAGATTCAAAAATATCTTCTCTTTTATATTTATAATGTCATAACTAATGTTTAAATACTTGCTTACAACAATACATCAACTGCAGAGATAAGCAATGCCTCAGCATCAAATAAACAGGTTATTCAATAAGACAATTCAAACATAAATAATTGGGGTATGACAGCAGCATACAAAGGTTGGAGTGTAAACCAGGCATTGGTGTTGTTCTATTACTTCATTAACCAACCAGAAATCATTTAGCTTTGCCACTGCCTCAACCAATCAGAAATCATTTCACTTTGCCACTTCCTCTAATATTTAATACTTCATCTAAGCCCAAGTGGAAAATAATAAATAAATACTTAGTAAATAAATAATCTCTTACATGATAATCCACTCAACAGCTTTGATTAAAATTGCACGGGATATTAAAAATAATTTCATATTTTATATGAACAAAACAGCCTAAATAAATATATATATAAAGATGCATGCTTGTTTTTAAGATTTGTCTCCCAACAGTGAATGTAATTGATAATAAAAAATAAGCTTTAAACCAACATTCAAGGACATATATATCTAACTGACTTCACATTTTCTATTCTACACATACAATCTTTCCATTTAAAAAATTCCACCAATGAAAGTAATAGAGACAGGTGTGTGTCAGACTTTGGCCTTCTCACCTGAATCTGACTTGACCTTTCTCCGAGACCCAGGTGTCCAGTCAGTGTGGGACAGGTGTCCAGTCAGTGTGGGACAGGTGTCCAGTCAGTGTGGGACAGGTGTCCAGTCAGTGTGGGACAGGTGTGTCTGACTTGGACCTGACCTTTCTCCTAGACCCAGGTGTCCAGTGTGGGACAGGTGTCCAGTCAGTGTGGGACAGGTGTGTCTGACTTGGACCTGACCTTTCTCCTAGACCCAGGTGTCCAGTCAGTGTGGGACAGGTGTGTCTGACTTGGACCTGACCTTTCTCCTAGACCCAGGTGTCTAGTCAGTGTGGGACAGGTGTCCAGTCAGTGTGGGACAGGTGTGTCTGACTTGGACCTGACCTTTCTCCTAGACCCAGGTGTCTAGTCAGTGTGGGACAGGTGTCCAGTCAGTGTGGACAGGTGTGTCTGACTTGGACCTGACCTCTCTCCTAGACCCAGGTGTCCAGTCAGTGTGGACAGGTGTGTCTGACTTGGACCTGACCTCTCTCCTAGACCCAGGTGTCCAGTCAGTGTGGGACAGGTGTCCAGTCAGTGTGGGACAGGTGTGTCTGACTTGGACCTGACCTTTCTCCTAGACCCAGGTGTCCAGTGTGGGACAGGTGTCCAGTCAGTGTGGGACAGGTGTGTCTGACTTGGACCTGACCTTTCTCCTAAACCCAGGTGTCCAGTCAGTGTGGGACAGGTGTGTCAGACTTTGGCCTTCTCACCTGAGTCTGACTTGGACCTGACCTTTCTCCTAGACCCAGGTGTCCAGTCAGTGTGGGACAGGTGTCCAGTCAGTGTGGGACAGGTGTGTCTGACTTGGACCTGACCTTTCTCCTAGACCCAGGTGTCCAGTCAGTGTGGGACAGGTGTCCAGTCAGTGTGGGACAGGTGTGTCAGACTTAGACCTGACCTTTCTCCTAGACCCAGGTGTCCAGTCAGTGTCAGTGTTGTCATTAACATCAGCCTCCATTTCATTCTCCTCACTGTCCGACTGCTCCATATCGCTGGTGTGTATTTTAGGGGAGCGTCGCTGAGACTGACGCCGTGGTCTTTTATCAGCTTCCACAGATACATCCTCCCTGGGCTTCTTGTGCGCTGGTTTTATCAAAGACTCAGGTTCCTGGTTGCTGGTCATATTCAAAGGCTGAAAGTTCATCACAGATGCTACTGGCGCGATTCTTTCATTGGTCAGTATTTTTTCACTACTCAGAACAGGAGGAGGGTTGGGTATTTCTCCCTCCTCCTCTTCGTCCTCATCATCTTCATCATCCTCTTCATCGTCCTCATCAATTTCATCATCAGTATCAGGGTTCTGGATGACAAAAGGTTTTTGCCCCACTGGTGTGGGTACAGCACGCTGCACCATTTCACTGCTGACAACCTGTGGTGGGGGTGGAGGTTGCTGTGATGGGGCTGGTGTGGGTAAAGATGGTGGTGGAGGTGGTGGAGGAGGAAGGGGAGGTGGCGGCGGTTGTGCTGGCTGCACAAAAGCCCCTTCTTCCTCTCCATGGGTTATTTTTCTTGGAATAGATTTCCTGCCTTTGCGTCCAGATTTCCCATCCCCACTTTCCCCACCAGAGCCTGGGCTGTCTGCCTCCCCATCAGCGTTATGTTCATCTCTGGCCCTCTCTGACAGGGAACTCAGGAAGTTGACAGCATCTTCTTCCATAACATCTGTTGTCTCATTTAACCCATGCTTTACCTTCTTATGCCTATTCAGGTTGCCTAAAACAATAAAATACACCATCAACACATTTTCTATGACATACAAAAAAAAGATAGAATTTTTTTTTCACAACCCGAATGTTTTTAATGCTTTTAAAACATAAGTAACAGTAAAGATATATTACCTTTCAGAGTAAATGTGCTACCACAGAAACATACATATGGCTTTGTGTTTGTGTGCATATGCATGTGCCCTTGTAGATTATGATAACGACCAAACTCTTTGCCTATAATTTTAAAGAAATAACCGCTATTAGATACTAAACTGAAAGTGTTACTATCTATAATAAAAATTTTTTTAGTTAAAATGAAAATTTATAAGAAAAGTCACTTCTCGTTTTTAAAATGCTTTTTTCAGAGGAAAAGAAACTACTATGTAATTACTTTAAACAATTTTAATGTAAAAAAAATTAGTCTAGTCTTTAGACAACCACATCTAATTGTAAACACTAAATTTATTAGAAATAAATTATAGGGCAGTTCCATACCACTGGTAAAAAAAAAATTCATCAATACTTTTTACCAAGTATCTAATTTTAAACAATAAACTTAAAAATCAATAATATTAATACAAGTACTTATAATTTAAAGAATAACCCCAATGTCCTTAACAATGGCAGAACATACCACATATTGTACATTCAAAAGGTTTTCTGTCCGCATGGACCACTTGGTGGGCCTTGAGCGTCTGTGGCTGGGTGAAGAGTTTGGAGCAGATGTTACACTTGAAGGTGCGCGTCGTCTCATGGATCAGCTTGTGTCTCTGCAGGTTGGCCCGCTGGTTGAATGAGCGGCCGCATGAATCACAAGTGTAAGGCTTCAGGCCTGTGTGTGTGAACTGGTGAGCTTTTAAATGATGTTCCTAAAAGATGAGAAAGGTGAGGCCATTCTTAAAATTACTCTTGAACAATGAAAACATAAAATTAAAAATACCCATGTAGGAGAGGATCAGCTAGAAAGAGACAAAAACTAGCTATGTCAACCATGTTACGTGATGGCAAAAAAATTGTTGAAGGATATTGTAGATATTGAGACAAGCTTATTTTTTAAAATGGCAATGATAAGAAAAAGAGTAGAGAATATATTGAGCTGTCTGCATACCAGCCAAAAAACAAAGAAAGTTTACAACCAACATACCTTCATAAAGTCCATCCCACACTCTGTACACATGTAAGGTCTGTGCCCATTGTGGGACTGCATGTGATCTTTGAGCTGGCTTGGGTACCGAAACTTGCGATCACAGTAACGACACAGTAACTTGCCCATGCTATTGCACTTGTCCCCATCTTTCATCTCCTCTGTATCAAATTCAGATTCAAAGCTGTGGTTCTGATCTGGAAAGCGCTTTACTCCAGTGGGCGCTGTATGCATTGTCTGCAGATTCAAAACAAACTTACAAGATTCCATTGGACTGCAAGTGACAGAAACCACTCATGGGGGTGGGGTAGGTGTAGTGCAGAGAGATTTTTTCTAATTTTAATGTTTTGAGCAGAAATTTCTCTGGACTAAAGAAATCATACTTTAACTTACCATTGGACCTTCATGCTGAGAAGATGATGGAGAATGTCCAGATGGATGCTTAGACCGTAAATTGGCACAGTAGCCATTTTTCTCACTGACCGCAGTGTGACGTTTCAAATGGCTGATTTGTGTGAAGCCTTTCCCGCACATGTTGCATGTGTGAGGCTTGATCTGGTCATGGGTGAGCATGTGGGTGTTGAGGTGGCTCAGCTGCTTGAAGTATTTCCCACACTTGAGGCACAGGTGGGGTTTGATCCCGCTGTGGTCCAGCACGTGCATGACCAGGTTGTGTTTTGTGGTGTAAGACTTGTCACATTCATTGCACTGCCAGCGTTTCACATTCCCCACCTGAACATACTGGGTGTCATCTATCCGCACACTCACCTCCATCCTCTCCTGCTCCAAGTCCCTGGCTTTAGCTTTTCTCTCTTCAATCAGTTGCTCCTCAGATTCTATCCTATGATCACCATTGCTATTCATATCATTGCCCAACCTAGGGCTGTATTGTTTATTTGGAGATCTAAAGACTTGAGAGTTACCCGTGGACATAATAGCTTTATGGTGTGCACTGTCTGTTGGTTCTGGCCCCCCTAGGTTGGATGGTCGGCTAACTATGCCCACAGTCACTATGGTAGCTTTGTTGGACACACACGTGGTCATTGTAGCTTTCCCTGCAGCATCCAAGAAGCTTGGAGAAATGATTGTTTTTATTTTGGAGTGTTTGTTGTAATCGCGGTAGTCCACGTTGTGTGCTGGAAGGGGGTCATAAGGGAATGTAATACGAGGGGATCCACGCGGGGTGCCCCCATGATTGGCCTGGTTTTGCATTATTTGTTGCCTTCTTTCATCATCAGAGAACTCAGTTTCTGATTCAGATTTGTAGATTTCAGCCTTTGGAATTTTGATTTTTAACTCCCCCATCTGCTCATCATTGGTCTGTGTTGATTTGTTGAATACAGATGGTCTCTCTGTTTTACCAACTATGTAAAATTTAAAAGGGCCATACTGTCTTCTGGGTACGGGTTGGCTATGGGAGAGGTATTTATGCTTGAATTTAGGAATGGTCATACTTTCAGTCTGAGACATGCCCCCATGACTGTAAATGCTGTGCCGGTCAAGATGGACAGCACTGGACAGATACTGTTGGTTTGGTGCCTCGTCCTTGTATGACCTGGGCGAGTGTGAGGTCATATGCAGGCTGCTGCCATTGTGTGAGGAGTGTTGCAGGAGAGAGGAATGAGGGATGTAGCTGTTACTGCCCATACCCGGAGAGGTGGAGCCGTGGGATGGAGATTTACTGTAGTTTTTGCCTGTCACCTGGTCGGCATAGGGGGAGGAGTCAAACTGACCCTGGTGACCCCTGGACCCAGAGGACTGGAATGCATGCTGCTGGCCTGATATGCTTGAGTACAGCGCCTGTGTGCCCTTGCCGATATCACTGCTGCTGGCACCACTGCTGGAAACAATGGTGCTAAAACTGGGAAGCCTGTCTGATATCATGCCGGGTCCAGACGAGGGCAGGGGCATTGGCAGGTGTGGCCCCTGGTCAGGTGGGTAATCAGAGAATCTGCTTCTGAATGAACTGGCAGGTAGACTAGACATGGAGGGCATGCTGGCCTGCTGGGAGTAGTTCATGTGAAAAGGTGACATGCCATAGCTGCCCCCCCTCTGGTTTTGTGGAAAGACAGGCCCCCCACCAGCAAATGTCATTCCAGCTTGCATCTCACTAGGGAGTGAGTTAGGGAAATCCACAGGCCCATAGTCTTCCCCTGCAAACTGAAATCCAGATGGGGGGAGATTGTCCATCCTGGGAAGTGGGAGCCTCTGTAAAACAAATTTAATATCAGGTTTATTAAAAAGGATGACCTATAAAAATATTTAAAAGGTTTAGATAAAATAAGTTACCTTTTTTTTAAATTTGCTCCTTTAGTTAACTTAGTTAGGCTACTATTATCATATGCCTTTAATGCAATAGGCCTTACAATTATGATTGGGGCTTATAATTTAATTATACCAAAGGCAAATTAAAAAAAAAAAAAAACAGCTCCAGTGTGGCTACTCCCACTGCTTTATAAATAACTTTACATTTTATTCACTATAGACCTAGCTAGTTTAAGCCAAACTATTACTATAGGCCTACTTAGTACTAAGACAAGTATTTTACTAACATATGCCTTCTGCTTCCTCCCCCCCCCCAATTATCAATAATCAGCTGATGATAGCCTACTAACACGTATTAGTGTATTAGTAGTAGGCATACCCCTAGCGCACCCCCCCCCCCCCCATAATAATAGTATCTAGAGATCTACAGAGAGCAACTAGATCTACCTGAATTGTTGTCATTAGAATCATTAGATCTATTCTAGATTCTAGATCTAGAATCTAGATCTAGTCTAGATCTAGATTTTTAATCTAGAGCTACTCTCTCTAGATCTATGGATTTTGGAAGATGTTGCGTGTTGTGTTATGTTGTGTAAATGCACTCGGGAAGAATTTAAAAAACAGCAGCCAACACTTTGTTTCCAGAGTTTAGATTTTAGGCTAGTCTCGATTTAGTATTCTCGAGTCTAGTTGAAGGACGGAAGACACTGCGTTTAGTGGAGGAAAATGGCGTCAACGAAGAACGGAGGAAAAAAAAAAACCTCATTAACTATCATCATCATGTTTAAAAGCCCCATAATATAAACGCATGGCTAATATTTAACAAGCATACTGAATATTATAACAATTTAAATAAACATTGCAATCACCTACTTGATTTACATTAATATGAAAAGCCCGTGGCGGTACATTTGACAATACTCGGAGGATGGAGTGAAGGAAGTAGATTGTTCTTCCAATTTGTATAAAAATAACATTAGGCCTATGTTGAAATGATTACTGAATTCTAAATGTAATTGCATAGAGTAGTTTTATGAAAACAAACAAAACAGTACAAATTAAATTTTAAAAGTTTACACATACATTAATTATTATAAAGATTATTTTATTAAAGAACTAATCACTATATTTTTATGCGTCAGAAGAAGGCCTATTTCTGAATAAAATGACGTGATGCGGCTGTAGTCCAAATACATTATTTTTTTTTCCAACGAGCAGTTGAAAATAGATCTAGACTCTAGTCTAGATCTAATCTAGATTATCAATATTTTGACAGATAGATTTTTGGCTTTCCAAAACGCATTTAATCGCTGTTATACTATTCAATGTTATGCCCACGTTATTGACGGTTGCAACATAAAGGTGATTCATTTGAATCCCTTCTGAAATAGAATATTTTTACCCACACCATCCCGTTTATTTATACACATTCGCCTTGTACTAATTTCCCGTCCCCACCCTCTCTACTTCACCGCCGTGAACATTCCGACAATATTTTATTTGTGGTAAATAATACGTAACATAATATACTGAGTGTACAGCAATATATATGTCGTGTGTTGTTGTGTAGTCTTTACGGAAGTGTTGATAATTGTCATTTTGTGTCTTATGGCATAGATCGATTAGTTCTACACAATCTTTGATCATTGAATGACTGCTTAACTCGTCCAAATATTATAGGGCCTATTCCTCTGGGCCTACAAAGTTATTACTCTCTAAATATTCACTAGACCTGCCCCCCCCCCCTTCAAGTCCCCCTTTTTAAAAGTATAATGTTCGTTTGTTTGCATTAAGGGGTTTTGTGGCACATCTCGTAACTTAATGTTGGCACACTTTTATCTTATTTTAAATATAATTTCACATTAGATTAGTCATTAAAAAAAAAAATCAAAATACAAGGGGAGACAACATGATTAAATACTCGTGATTGCTCAATCAGTTGGCCGTCGGCAGTAATCGTCCTTTAAAAGGATTCAAGCTACTGCTTCAATTTTAACACTAATATTTTAAGTCGTGGCCTATTTCGAGTCAACTTAAATTAGAATGAATTACTAAAAAGTAAAAAAAAAAACATCTTTCTAATAATAAGTTTTTAAGTGTACTAAAAATAAGAAAACGAAACAAACTTGCGTTTTTACTTTCTCGGATACAGAGTACAGTGGTACCTAAAGATACGCGTTTACTTTGTGCCTTAACATTCCTAGTATGTTAAATTACTCGTATCTCAAAGCTATTTTCTTCACTAAAATTACACGAAATTTCATTAATCTGTTCCAGCACTCTTAATGCCTTTTTAGTCCTAACATTGACGTCAACTTTATCCCGTCCTGACATTGACGTCAACTTTATCCCGTCCTGACATTGACGTCAACTTTATCCCGTCCTGACATTGACGTCAACTTTATCCCGTCCTGACATTGACGTCAACTTTATCCCGTCCTGACATTGACGTCAACTTTATCCCGTCCTGACATTGACGTCAACTTTATCCCGTCCTAACATTGACGTCAACTTTATCATGTCTTTAAATTGCCGTCAACTTTATTCCGTCCTAAACTTGCCGCCAATTTAGTCTGTCCCACCATTACATCAGATTACATATTGTATTGCTGGTAAGTTCATACAAGCCTAGTAGACTTTTATAATTACTCGAGGAGGTAACCTTGACTTAACTCTCTTGGATCAACCAATTGACAAGAAAGAAGGATGTCATCATCCCACCCCATAGATTTTGGAACTTCAATTACTGGAGGAAGGGATCGTCCGTAAATGACCAGATTCCTGGGGTAGAGGATGGGGGGGGGGGGGGGGGGGCGAAGAAGGTCTAGCATTATGGGTCGACGGCAAAGAAGTGGCTGTTAAAGTTGGCTGAACATTAACAACGTAGTAAAATGTGTGTGCAATCCCTAGGCTTTGAAAACTGTCAAGAAAATCTTGATAAATAAACAAAACACGACAATTTTCAAGTACAACGGTAGTAAAAAATGATTTTTAAATTGATTATTTTAAGCTTTAATCATTCGACAAACTGATGTTTTTTTTTTTATTGCGTGTGGTCAAACCAAAAGTTTATGTTTTTATTGCGTGTGGTCAAACCAAAAGTTTATGTTTTTTATTGCGTGTGGTCAAACTAAAAGTTTATGTTTTTTTTTATTGCGTGTGGTCAAACCAAAAGTTTATGTTTTTTATTGCGTGTGGTCAAACTAAAAGTTTGTTTTTTATTGCGTGTGGTCAAACCAAAAGTTTATGTTTTTATTGCGTGTGGTCAAACTAAAAGTTTATGTTTTTTTTATTGCGTGTGGTCAAACCAAAAGTTTATGTTTTTATTGCATGTGGTCAAACCAAAAGTTTGTTTTTTATTGCGTGTGGTCAAACCAAAAGTTTATGTTTTTATCGTGTGTGGTCAAACCAAAAGTTTATGTTTTTATTGCGTGTGGTCAAACCAAAAGTTTATGTTTTTTATTGCGTGTGGTCAAACTAAGAGTTTATGTTTTTTTATTGTGTGTGGTCAAGCCAATGGGGACACTCCCCACAGCCAGTCTCTCTATATCATGGCGTCAAGGAACTCCGCCAGGGAGATCTTCCCATCCCGACTGGTGTCCATCTTCTTCATGATCTCATCCAGCTCCATGTCCGTGAACTTCTGACCGCAAGCGTCGATGATCTTCTTCAGCTCCTTCTTGTCCAGGTACCCGTTCTTGTCTTTATCGAACTTGGTGAACAGGGTGGATAGAGTCTTGATGCTGGGAAGGAAGGGGAGGGAATCTATTTGTTTCAATCGTTTTTTTAGAAATGGGAGGTAAAAATGTGACTTAAAATGTGGTGTAAAATGTGAGCTAATAATGTGAGGCAAAACCTCAGGCAAAAATCTGAGTTATAATATCAGCTAAAAATGTGAGATTAAAATGTGACGTAAATATATGGAAATATGTAAAATAAAAGAGAAATATGAGATCTAATGTGAGGTGATGTTAATTTCTGAGATAAAATTGTAAAGCAAAAATGGAAAGTAAAAAAAAAAATCGACGACATATAAATATAAGTAAATAGATCTAGTTCCTGAATTATATGACCAGCCCCTAAAAAATTGTATATCAAAAAATTTCCTTGTAAACAATAAATCCTACGGTTTGTCAAAATCACCAACAGTAGGAGCTTTCAGGTAAATGTCCGCAAAACTTACTGTAACTAATTAATTGCAATAAAGTATTTTAAAGATAGTCAAATGCGATTGTGTTTTGTTTAGACCCAATATTCCCACTTCATAGACCCAACATTCCCACTTCATAGACCCAACATTCCCACTTCATAGACCCAACATTCCCACTTCATAGACCCAACATTCCCACTTCATAGACCCAACGTTCCCACTTCATAGACCCAACATTCCCACTTCATAGACCCAACATTCCCACTTCATAGACCCAACATTCCCACTTCATAGACCCAACATTCCCACTTCATAGACCCAACATTCCCACTTCATAGACCCAACATTCCCACTTCATAGACCCAACATTCCCACTTCATAGACCCAACATTCCCACTTCATAGACCCAACATTCCCACTTCATAGACCCAACATTCCCACTTCATAGACCCAACAGTCCCACTTCATAGACCCAACATTCCCACTTCATAGACCCAACATTCCCACTTCATAGACCCAACATTCCCACTTCATAGACCCAACATTCCCACTTCATAGACCCAACATTCCCACTTCATAGACCCAACATTCCCACTTCATAGACCCAACATTCCCACTTCATAGACCCAACAGTCCCACTTCATAGACCCAACATTCCTACTTCATAGACCCAACATTCCCACTTCATAGACCCAACATTCCCACTTCATAGACCCAACAGTCCCACTTCATAGACCCAACGTTCCCACTTCATAGACCCAACATTCCCACTTCATAGACCCAACGTTCCCACTTCATAGACACAACAGTCCCACTTCATAGACCCAACATTCCTACTTCATAGACCTAACAGTCCCACTTACAAGCCTTCAAGCTTCTGCATCCCGGAAATAAATTCAGACAAAGTTATTTTCTTGTCCCCGTTGGTCGACTCAAAGTAGACAAACATATTCTGTGGAAGAAGCGTAGATAAGCATATTCTATTGAAGACAAAGTAGATAAACATATTCTATGGAAGACAAAGTAGATAAACATATTCTATGGAAGACAAAGTAGATAAACATATTATATGGAAGACAAAGTAGATAAACATATTCTGTGGAAGACAAAGTAGATAAACATATTCTGTGGAAGACAAAGTAGATACACATATTCTGTGGAAGACAAAGTAGATAAACATATTTTAACTTATCTGCCCTGAGATGCAGCATTAACCTATCTGCCCTGAGGTGCCAGCATTAACCTATTTGCCCCTGATTAGCCAGCCATAACCTATCTGCCCCTGATTAGCCAGCCATAACCTCTGCCCCTGATTAGCCAGCCATAATCTATCTGCCCTGAGATGTCAGCATGAACCTATCTGCCCTGAGATGTCAGCATGAACCTATCTGCCCCTGATTAGCCAGCCATAACCTATCTGCCCCTGATTAGCCAGCCATATCCTATCTGCCCATGAGGTGCCAGCCATAACCTATCTGCCCATGAGGTGCCAGCCATAACCTATCTGCCCCTGATTAGCCAGCCATAACATATCTGAGATGCCAGCATGAACCTATCTGCCCTGAGATGCCAGCATGAACCTATATAATCTGCCCCTGACAGTACTCACAGCGAGCTGAGACTCGGTGATGTTGGAGTTTGCGGACTTGAGCATCAGCCTCAGCTCGTTGATGTCCAGGGTACCGTTCTTGTCCTTATCTGTGGCCTTGAAGAGCGCCTCCCACTCTGCCATAGACTTTCTGGGCATCTTGAGGTTCTGTGTGCTGCCTCACTGGGGGGACACGGGCTCTCTGGCGGGAACAAAGGGATTTAGCCGATTATTTCTTACTGTTGAGTAATGCAAGTCACATCGTATGTTTAGGATTAAGTCTAGGGTTAGAATGCGCTTCACTGGTGACCGTATAGTGGTTATTATTTGCTCCAACCCAAATCCTAAACCAGGGGTTCCCAACCCCGTGCCCGCGGGCGCCATGGCGCCCGCCGAACGATTCGTATGTGCCCGCTTCTCACTGTTCGACAGAGACAGAATTTTTTTCATAAACATTATTGAAAGGTTGAAGGGGATGGAAATCGAAAGTTTGAGGGAGGAGGTGCAAATCGAAAAGATGAGGGGGGGTGCAAATCGAAAGTTTTGTCCCCGGGTGACTCGTTACGCCTCTGGAAGGAGTTTGTCGATTTAAAATAGGTGGTGCCCGCCACCCTACCGGTATTTTAGAATGTGCTCTAGAGTAAAAAAAGGTTGGGAACCCCTGTCCTAAACGATAGCTCTGGACCTAACCCAAACAACAACACAGGCCATAAGACACCCCTGATACTGTAATGTTGTTCTAGAACTACAGTAAGGCTTAGCGGTAGGGTAAGAAAGAAATTATAGGTTATAATATAATTCTAACCCAGAATGATGCTGGCTTGGTAAACGGGCTGGTATAATAATTCCTCTGTTAATAGTTATGGTACGTTACGATAGTTAGAATGGTACTCTCTACTATTTTGCCGTTCTTTTCGTTTTACCGGTATTGCTGACAACCTAAGCCATTACAACCTGCAACCTCGAGTAGTCGTAAACCTTACTCTGGCTTAATCTAAGCTTTAGTCCTATCCTAAGCCTAACCTTATCTCATAATCTATGTCTTGACCTAACCGTAAACATAACCTTACCACTAAAGCTGACATATCGCTTTCGTTTATTCAATACATAACACATAGATCTAGGTAACGTAAGGCTAATGAATAAAATATGAAATAACAAACTCATCGAGCATAATCTACACATTTAGGTTAAAAAAACAACAATGCACTTATTATTTATTTTAATCTTGATCTATACTATAATATAATACTAATAGATCTAGATCTAGATCTAGATCTAGATCTACATCTAGAATCTTGAGTTCTGGACTCAAGGATAAAGATGATAAGTAGATCTATTTTTAATCTCAACGAAATCGATATGTTTTGAATTAAGTCTTACATTTTTAGTGGAACCTAATTATATTGTAAATAATAATAGTTAATTAAAACATTAAGCAAACAAATTCTTATTTTACCTAAAGTTAGTTTTATGAAGTCGAATGTGGCGAAACCAGCGGTGTTGTTAATATCCAATGTTTGGAGCGACCCAGTGCTAAACGTCAGTGTGCGCGTTAAAATGAAAGGGTTTCCGTGTGCACTTTAGTGTGCAATTCCCATCTTTTGTATGAAAATATGACTTAAGTTGAAATAGTCACTAGTATAAATAAAGCGGGAGTGATCTCCCCTAAACTTTCTCGTATATTCTTGTAAAACAGTAAAGGGGATGGCACTTTCAGTGAAATTGGGCTATAGAAATGTAGCAAAAAAATTTGCGCACCAATTGAACGTAAATTACGTGCGCATTATTGAGCGGAAAATGTAATGCTTTGTGAAAGAAACTTAGATTAACTTTTAAATAGTTAATTAAACACCTAATTAAGTCACATTTTATGCCATTGTGCATTATCATCGAGTCAATGGAACTGGCAAAAAGCATTTTTCTTCTGCACATATTGCAATTTTCTGCCCTGGTATCACCCCTTAAATGGTGTCACCCGGTGCGGTCCGCCCCCCCCCCCCCCCCCCCCCCCGCCCCGCCCTCGCTACTCCTCTGGTCTACATCCATGGTTTGATAGATTTATTTATTTCTTTGCGATGCTTACAAAGCGAAGTCCACATTCTTCACAATTTAACCTATTATATTTTAAAACAAAAATTCACCCCCCCCCCCACCCCGCCCTACATTCACTGGAAATTATTTCGTCTTATCAGTTGTGTATTATCACGTGGAAATATTTTTATTCACAGCAAACATTTGAATAACTCTGGCTCTCTACCCCCCCCCCTCCTCCCACCCCCATCCCCCGCCCCCCATAATAATCCATGATAGTCAACCCCGCGTACCCGGTCCTATTTCCATTGTCACTTCAAAACGCGTCTCTTTCTTCTTTAATCGATAAAACGGTATATCGATTTTTTTTTTAGTTCTGAATGCTCATGTTATGGAACACGCACCTATTTTTAATGTAACTATTTAGATACATGGGCTTAAAATCACAAGTAACATTTGACATGATAGGAGAGTTATTTCTTCAAGGTGCGGACTTGTGAAAACGTGTAGTGTGTTGCCTTGGATCAGCAGTCTAGTAGATACTGGGATTAAATTAGCGTTGTGTGGATTTCTTAGGGTAAGTCACGTAATATGATGTTTGTGTTTTCTTGACTGAAAAAATGGGCATAACGAAATACTGTTGATTGCCCTACATGAGAATTTTAGTATTGTGTGTAAGTAGCAACACAAATATCGGCGTAGGTTTAGATGTAATATAGTTTAATATAAGAATACGGTTAGTTTGTAAAAACATGTATTTAGTCTTGAGAACATTACGGGGGGGGGGGGGGGGGGGGTTATAGAGCATATATTTATAACATTGCATTGATTAGCTTTAATGTTATCTCCACAAAGTTATAGTGATTTTTTTAAATGGCTGGATAAGTAAACCGACACAATAGTCTTACACATTGCTCTTTTCAACACAACAGAAAATAAAGCTGTTTTTTTTGTTTCAAATTATTAACCCGAGTCACAAGTGATGTTTACTAAAACTATGGGATTCACATAATTTTTTTTTTAAATCGTCACCGTATTCATGTTGTTAGATTGTGTTGTAGTCTGTAGGTTGTCGGTATGTATTAAAGTGTGTGCACACGGGAATGTTATATTAAGTTATAGGACTATAGGGATGGGTAAAGGATCACATGTTTGTGTGACTAGTGATGTGGGTGTGGAATCTAAACGGAAAAGAACAAGCGCATAGATTTGTTTAGCTCTTGTTTTAAGTGCCTCTTTATAATCTAACGACACTTTTACATACAACTATTGTGTAATCCCACTTATATACAGGGCCACAATTTACCACCGCGTAATGATCTCAATATTTACCACTAGATCTACGTAATAATCTCCCTTATCTAATGAAACAATCCTGATTGTTTTTCTTTTATGTACATTTAATCAACTTCGCTAAAACAACTTAGTCGTACAGGGAATGTGTTATTGATTACTCAGTATCGATTCATGCGACAGTTCTGCCATATTGCCCTATCGCTGATCAAGTTGTGAAGATTCGATACTGGTTTGAAAAGACGGGATCGATGTTTTATACCACCTTTACACTCTTTAAAACTGTACAACAGTAGGTAAGGACAGAAGACAACTCCAGATTTTTAAAAACCTGAGTACTAGAAGAACACAGGCAGCTTTAGAACTAAACATTTCGGTCTCAAGTCTGTAGGATGTGTCAGCTCAGTTCAGCTCTGTTGTGTAGCTGATAGGTCAGTTCAGGTCAGTTCAAGTCAGTTCAGGTCAGATCAGGTCAGTTCAGGTCAGTTCAGTTCAGTTCAGGTCAGTTCAGGTCAGTTCAGGTCAGTTCAGGTCAGTTCAGGTCAGTTCAGCTCTGTTGTGTAGCTGATAGGTCAGTTCATGTCAGATCAGGTCAGTTCCGGTCAGTTCAGGTCAATTCAGGTCAGTTCAGGTCAGTTCAGGTCAGTTCAGGTCAGTTCAAGTCAGTTCAGGTCAGTTCAGGTCAGTTCAGGTCAGTTCAGCTGTTGTGTAGCTGATAGGTCAGTTCAGGTCAGTTCAGGTCAGTTCAAGTCAGTTCCGGTCAGTTCAGGTCAATTCAGGTCAGTTCAAGTCAGTTCAGGTCATTTCAGGTCAGTAGGTCAGTTCAGGTCAGTTCAGGTCAGTTCAGGTCAGTTCAGCTGTTGTGTAGCTGATAGGTCAGTTCAGGTCAGTTCAGTTCAGGTCAGTTCAGGTCAGTTCAAGTCAGTTCAGGTCATTTCAGGTCATTTCAGGTCATTTCAGGTCATTTCAGGTCATTTCAGGTCATTTCAGGTCATTTCAGGTCAGTTCATGTCAGGTCAGGTCAGTTCAGGTCAGTTCAGGTCAGGTCAGTTCAGGTCAGTTCAGGTCAGTTCAGGTCAGTTCAGCTGTTGTGTAGCTGATGCTTTGCCTGACGTAGCAGAAACCACTCAGACGGGGACGAGGTGAGGAGAACTGACACATATATGACGTTTAGAGTCCACTCAGCTCAGATGAGTACCAAATAGTTGTTGAATAGTCTCAGATCTGATCAGGGTCATTCAATTGTTGGCAGTCCCTGAATAGATCTAGCTCAGATAAGTACCCTACAATTGTTGGCAGTCCCTGATTAGATCTAGCTCAGATGAGTACCCTACAATACCCGACAAAGTAGTCGATAAATGTGAATTCAATACAGCAATGTTTGAATGTGCAGTCGTCTTGTAGCTAATCACTTCATTTCCCACAGAAAGACAACACTCATGTTTTGTTGTTTTTATTCCACACGACGACACGAACAGATGACAACACTCGTTTTTTTTTCACTTCCTCGAGTCTAGATAAACCAGGATTCTGCTTTATAAACTAACACATCATTTCCTCCTGCACAGAGAAACCCAGGTAAATGAGGTTCTAACTCGATCAAGTACTCACCAAATCCAGACTCGATCAAGTACTCACCAAATCCAGACTCGATCAAGTACTCACCGAATCCAGACCAAGCACGATGCCGATGAAGCCGTTGAGCAGCTGGGAGAAAGTCTTCAGGTCAGCAGACGTCAATGGTGACGGTACGCTGGACTTTGGCGAGCTGAGACTTATGCTGAGGAGGGAGAAGAGCAATCTCACGGATTCTCAAATTATGGTGGGGATTTCTCGCTTCACATATATTTACAACAGGGTTTCTCACTTCACATACATTTACAACAGGGTTTCTCACTTCACATACATTTACAACAGGGTTTCTCACTTCACACACATTTACAACAGGGTTTCTCACTTCACATACATTTACAACAGGGTTTCTCACTTCACATACATTTACAACAAGGTTTCTCACTTCACATACATTTACTACAGGGTTTCCCACGGATTCTCAAATTATGTTGGGGGTTTCTCACTTCACATACATTTACAACAGGGTTTCTCACGGATTCTCAAATTATGGTGGGGGTTCTCACTTCACATACATTTCCAACAGGGTTTCTCACTTCACATACATTTACAACAGGGTTTCTCACTTCACATACATTTACTACAGGGTTTCCCACGGATTCTCAAATTATGTTGGGGGTTTCTCACTTCACATACATTTACAACAGGGTTTCTCACTTGACATACATTTACAACAGGGTTTCTCACTTCACATACATTTACAACAAGGTTTTCTTACTTCACATACATTTACAAGTTTTCATTCAGACCGATTTCTACGGGGGGGGGTTGATTATTATTAAATTAGATTGTTATTTTTCTTCGTCTGGGGAGCTCGTGTGGGGGGGGGGGGGGGGGGTGATATTTGTAAAAGCAATGTAAACTGATAAAATGTACTGGCTAAATAGCCAAAGATATAGTTTTACCAGTGTCCGCCTTCCGCCCCTGGAAAATGTTGCCCACCCCCCCTCCCCCCGAAAATATTAAGTGCCTCACCCCCCGGTGAAAAAAGTCTGAAAGAAACAATGCATGCATGGGGTATAGGTTCGAACTGTGACTAGTCTACTGTGTTTGAATATTCACCTGTTGTTTTTCTTTGCTATATTGTTACATGTAAAATGTTAAATGCAAAAACTAAATCTTTCATTGTGTTACTTCTCTCATCTAACTCTCCACTGTGACGCGGTGTTGTGGTACTACAAACAGCAAGTTTTCAAGTTTTTTGATGGGCCCAATGGTGACAGGAAAATTACCCTGACGGAATTTATCTCCGGGATGAGAAAGATCGAACAATTGTAAGTCTTTAACCGGGAAATTAAATGTTACTTTTTATTTACATTTATTAAAGAAACTTTTTAATGTTAATTTTTTTCTTTACTTTATTATGTAATCCCTTAACTTAAAAAGAGAAATCCAAGCTTGTTGTAGAATTCTAAAAGGAAAAAATATACTACTTTAATTTTGGAATTTGATCTACAAAATCCCCAAGAAATAACGTTGAACTAATCAATAAGTTCCCTGTCCCCCGAACAGAAGAGTCACTTCATCCCCCCCCCCCCCTCTGGACCAGAGGCGTAGGGAGGGGGGGGGCGGGGAGTGCGGATCGCACCGGGTGACCATTTAGGGGGTGACACCAAGGCAAAAAAAAAAATATATAGAGTAAAACTGACCCCTCTGTATCTGTCCCCTCTGTATCTGACCCCCAGTGGCCGAGAGCCTGACCCCTTTGTATCTGACCCCTCTGTATCTGACCCCTGTATCTGACCCCTAGTGTCGAGAGTCTGAAGGCATTGTTCAAAAAGTTAGTCCCCCACCCCCTGACCCCTCTGTCTGACCCCTCTGTATCTAACCCCTCTGTATCTGACCCCTTTGTGTTTAACCCCTCTGTATCTGACCCCTCTGTATCTGACCCCTCTGTATCTGACCCCCAGTGTCGAGAGCCTGAAGACGTTGTTCAACAAGTTAAAGACCCCCATCTCTGACCCCTCTGTATCTAACCCCTCTGTATCTGACCCCTCTGTATCTGACCCCTCTGTATCTAACCCCTCTGTATCTGGCCCCTCTGTATCTGACCCCTGTATCTGGCCCCTCTGTATCCTACCCCTCTGTATCCTACCACTCTGTATCTGACCCCTCTGTATCTGACCACTCTATCTGACCCCTAGTGTCGAGAGTCTGAAGGCGCTGTTCAACAAGTTAGTCCCCCACCCTTGACCCCCTTGTATCTGACCCCCTGTATCTGATCCCTCTGTATCTAACCCCTCTGTATCTGACCCCTCTCTGACTTCTCTGTATCTGACCCCCCTGTATCTGACCCCTCTGTTTCTGACTTCTCTGTATCTGACCCCTCTGTATCTGACCCCTCTGTATCTGACCCCTCTGTATCTGACCCCTCTGTTTCTGACTTCTCTGTATCTGACCCCTCTGTATCTGACCCCTCTGTATCTGACCCCTCTGTATCTGACCCCTCTGTTTCTGACTTCTCTGTATCTGACCCCTCTGTATCTGACCCCTCTGTATCTGACCTCTCTGTATCTGACCCCTATGTATCTGACCCCTCTGTATCTAACTCCTGTATCTGACCCCCAGTGTCGAGAGCCTGAAGGCGCTGTTCAACAAGTTCGACACGGACCGCAGCGGCTATCTGGAGCGTGACGAGATGCGCCGACTGCTCAACTCCTGCGGCCAGAGGTACTCCACCAGCGACGTGGATCACGTGATACGGCTGGCAGACGCCAACGGGGACGGCAAGATCAGCCTGGAGGAGCTCATCTACGCCTGCACGTAGTGGTTGCTTCTGCTGGTGTCCTGTGTCTTTAGACCGGCTTAGACGTACACAACCACTGACACGTGCTGCGTACACTATGAGAGGTTCTATGTCAGATTATGAGTTGATCAGGGACAAAGTTTCGTGCCATTACTTTAATGGGTGCTTATGTATTTGTTATAGAAAATTGTTATCTGAATGTTTTGTGAAATTGTTTGAGTTTATGAATGTACAGAGGATTAACCGTTCGTACCAATGTTTTATAGATTTCATATGGAATGTGAATAAGTATTATAGCAGTTTCCCTGAGAAACGATTTATATGGGGATAGTTTTGTCCATATTTTTTTTTTCAAAATTTGAGTCCAATGTCACCACTTGGCAGCATTGGTAGACTTGATCTAAATGTATTGTGTGACCCCATGACCCCATGACCCCATGACACACTGGGCAGCTGTTTATCTACTCACTTCCTGTTTGACGTTCAGTTTTAGCGTTGTTGTTGTTTTTAAGTACGCTTATTCTTGTTACATATCGTTGCCAAAACTTACTTCACAAAATACAACAATCAAAACTCATGCAAGAAGATGTTTTAATTAGATCACCATCTCCCTCCCATCACCTGCCTTTTTAGTCCCATAACCTATCTTTCCTCCCCTCCCATAACCCATCTTTCCTCCTCACAGATAACTCATCTTTTCTCCCTTCTCCACTCCCATAACCTATCTTCCCTTCCCTCCCATAAACCATCTTTCCTTCCCTCTCATAACCCATGTTTCCCTCCCCAATGTACTTATCTTTCCCATAAACTCCCCCCCCCCCCATTATACCACACACTTCAACACTTTCTTCTCTAACTATTTTCGCGTGGCCTTAACACATCAGCGTGTAACATGAATGATAACACACTCTGACACAATGTTCATTGAACATAATGAAATATCTTATATACTTCCTTAATTAACTTTTTTAACCCTCTCCCAACAAGGTATTTTAATTTTTTGATGAGTGGAAAGAAAACGGTGTTCATTTTTCAGACAACGCCGTGTAAGGTTTTACTATTAGAATATAAAATTCTTCATAGCTGTATAATACAATAGTTTATACATAACTTTTATATGTGTAACACAAATAAAGGTTTTATTGTAAGAATATAATAATCTTTATAGTTGTATAATACAATAGTCTATATATAACTTTTTATATATGATACACTGGCGTACAAATATGTTGAGGCACTTTTCCATTATGTGGTACCACGCTTCACGCTGAGTTTTATTAACCATATTCAAACTTATAATAAGTCACCCTAAAGCTAACCATAGTTTTAGCCCAACTATAGCTCTAACATGAATTAAAGGCGTGCCCATAAATGTTCTTGCAAATAAAATATGGTTGTTAATCAAAGACCGCCAGGTACCTTATATCGGAAATTGGATGTTGTTATACTAAATGTTAACCTGACAAAATCTGTGTTATACTAAATTTTAAACTGACATATTTTTTGTAACTCTTGTATTTGTTACTTTTTTCTCTCTTTCAGCTCAATATAAATTTAAAAAAATAAATGAAGTATCCAACATTTGAATTATATTTTTTTCTATAACATTTCTTGTCTGTATGAGACAGCCCAAGTGAAGCCTGAACAGGAATTAAATGAAACATACAGGGGGAGGGGAAACGATTGAAGTACTGCCTGGAGTTCAAGCCACTCCACAATGTTAGTTCAAGCCACGCCCCAACGTTTGTTAAAGCCACGCCCCAACAGAGTTAAAACCACCCCACAACCTTAGTTCAAGCCACTCCCCAACGTTAGTTAAAACCACTCCCCAACATTAAAGCCACTCCCCCACACTAGTTAAAGCTACGCCCCAACGTTAGTAAAAGACAACCCTATAAAAATAACCCTCAAAGCAATATCTAAAATATGAACGCTATTTTCTAACCTTTGGTATTTTATTTATGAATCTTAATTTTATTTTCACACTAAAATGTATTTTAATAGTTCACGTTTTTCAAAGTAATCTAAAAATCACCTCAAACGTATTTTATGACATCTTGTATAAGTTGTAATTAGTATGATAACACACCTTGTGTAAGCAGTTTGAGTTGTATTACAAGACACCGTGTGTAAGCAGTTGTATCATAAAACTGTATCGCAGGTCAACTGGCAGGCCAGCGAGGCCAACATCTGTTGTTACTTACTACATCATGACGTAATACAATCGAAGGTCACAACGGTGTTGTTCATTTTATCCAAATCACTCACTCAGGTGAAAAAGTTGTATTTGGTCTGTAGGCTTTAAGTGAATTAAACTCAGCCCAGCAAGCTGCGGTCAGTGGCGTAGCGAGGTCGGGTGTCACCCCGTGCGGCACTTAATGGTGTCACCCCCCCCAGAGGCGTAGCGACCCTTCCCGGGGACAAACTTTCAATTTTTTAATTGCACCCACCCCCGCCTCAAACTTTCGATTTGCACCCCACCCCCTCAAACTTTCGATTTGCATCTCTTAAACGACTATTTAACACTCGAATTAATCACTTAATTAAGTGGAATTATCATTTTTCTCTATATATTTTGCTATTTTTTGCCTTGGTGTCACCCCCCTAAATGGTGTCACCCGGTGCGGTCCTCTACCCCCCCCCCCCCCCTCGCTACGCCTCTGGTTAAGGTTAGGGCTGTGTTGATAGTAAACTTAACCTGGTCTGTTTGGGCAATAGTGTATTTAACATACAAACACGTGACGTAATTATAGTAGGCTGGTGACTAAATATAGTAAACATTTAATGACCCGCAAACTTAAAGAAAAAAAATGCGCCTAGTTATATCGCATGATCATTTTTTCAAGTTTTTATGTTTTGGCATATCTTTTTTTTTTACCCCCAAATGTTGGACTATACATGTTAGATTTTATTTATCGGTGGTATAACTATTGAAGTTCTTTATTTTTTCGGTCATCTGATAATCAACTTTGCACAATTAGTGTTTCTGTGTAATAAAGTTATTTTAATTTAAGACGGTCTTTCTACCGCTAGGCTACCTGATGGAAAGGGGGGTGGGGATGACGGGGGTAAATATCACCGACGGCCAAACTTGTAGGTCAAACTGACATAACCTAGAATATTTTCCCTTGACCTGCATTGTTGTTAGCTTAGTCGAAACTAGGCCATTTAACTCAAAACAGATCACAGTGAAACTGTCTTGCTTGGTGACGTAATGCATGACGTAATCAACCTCTTACCGACCGAGGTTGTGGTCAAATGAGGTCAAAACATTGAGGTTCAGGGGAGTGACGTCACTTAAATCACAGACCGATCCCGCGGGATTACAGGTGTTTGGGTGGTGCGTCATGACAACTCACCTGGTCCCAGATTGTGGTCATCAGGTGTGTCAACTGTTCAGGTGTGTCAACTGTTCAGGTGTGTCAACTGTTCAGGTGTGTCAACTGTTCAGGTGTGTCAACTGTTCAGGTGTGTCAACTGTTCAGGTGTGTCAACTGTTCAGGTGTGTCAACTGTTCAGGTGTGTCAACTGTTCAGGTGTGTCAACTGTTCAGGTGTGTCAACTGTTCAGGTGTGTCAACTGTTCAGGTGTGTCAACTGTTCAGGTGTGTCAACTGTTCAGGTGTGTCAGCATCGTCTACCTAGTCAAGTTTGTGACGGTCAGAAGATTTGTGGAGGGCTTGGGGGGGGGGGGGGTGCTGTCTAACATTCTATATACACATCGACTGTGAGATAACGCATTACGCGATAACAATATTCCAATTACTATGTAAACAGCAACCTAATGCAGCTTTTAAATCCTTGTTGGAATAACAAATAGGGAGGGAGGGCTGACAAGATGGGGATAGCACGATAGGTAGGGGTGATAAAATATGTTGGGCGGAAGATATGACGTGGCAATAATTGATCAAATCAAATCTTTCTTTTTATTTTTCTGGATTAAATGTATTTTGTTCTCACATTACTACTGTCTTGCACTTTAAACAAATTTCCCATAAATTTCTATTCTAAGAGAACAGTAAGAACAAGCATTGTTTCTAAGTGTAATAGATGCTCTGGGATGGTGGGGTTTAATTGCAATCGAAACAACAATTACCAACAAGCATTCACAGCCTAGCAGCAATCGTCTGCTACAGAGCTTCACATTTATCAGACATAATAAACACAAACATTTAGAGTGGGAAAAAAATCAAAACAACTCTAACTTTATCTTTTTATTATTATTATTATTATTATTATTCTACACATTGATGGAGATTTGAGGAAAAAAAAAAGAAATGTCGAAAATGTGGGAGAAAAAATTAATTGAGCAAAAATTTGAGCTTTCTATACATTACATTATATAGCAAGCTCTGTGTACACTAAAAATACACCATGTACGATAATTTAAGTAAACTATTTCCAGATAGGAATGAATTTTTAAATTAAAACTATTCTATTGTAATAATTAAGGGAACACATTAATATTAAATGTATTCAGAAGTTATAAGTATTATATTAATTAAATCAATGAACTTTTAATCCATTTTCTACAGTCATCATTAAAAAAAACAACTAATAAACATTTTATATATAACCACGTGACTAGTGGCAGCCAATCGTGATTTGATCTAACTAAAATCTAAATTTAAGTTTAAAAAATGACAATACTTTATTGAAAATGGGGTAAAAAGCTTCAAGTGAAAATGTGAATACTATTTAAAGATGTATTATTTCTTTAATGACCCTTGCTGAATTACGTGCAGGCGTCCATAAACTCTTCGAATGAAATCTTCCCGTCCCCGCTCTTGTCGGCGTTCTTGAGGATTTCGTTGACCTCTGGGTCGGTGAACTTGTGGCCAGATGCTTCTAGAATCTTCCTCAGCTCGTTCTTGTCCAGGAACCCGCTGTTGTCAGAGTCGTATTGTTTGAACAACTGGGCCAGTTTGGAGATACTGAAAGATAGGAGCAGGGAACAGGTTTATGTGAGCGGGTGAATGGATTTTTTTGTATTATTTTATTTGTTGCGAATCTGGGAGTGCATGGTGGTCCAATGGGGAACAGCACGGGGTCCCCCTTCCGCTCGAAGCGGACAGTATAAATTAACCGGTCGGACGATTTTCTCCCTCTTTTTGACCCACGGCGAGATGTAGGTCGGGTCAGGTTTCTGCGTGGGCGCACCTCACGCGTGGAGGTATTTGTTTTTTTATACTTTATCTTTATGTGATTTGTATGAATGCGACTGTCGATGTTTCTCGTTTTCTTTCATTTTCGTCTAAAACGAGATAGTGAGCATCGGCATGTCTGGTATGCACGTGGTGTGTTATTCTGTTATTTTGAATTAAAATGTATTTTTGGTGTTTTCTAAACCCGTGGCGTGTGTTTCGGACCACGTGGTTTAGGTCAGTGTGTTTAGGAGTGTTTCCTAAACTAGTGTGAATGCGTGTGTGCATTTACTTGATTGTTTTATGATGTGTTATTGACTAGGATTGGCTTAGTCAATAGTTAGTTGTTTTAGACAGTAATTAGATTAGTATATTTTAGTTGCCTCGAGTTTTAGGTTGTTTAAAATTAATGTGTGTGCTGTTTCGTGCAACGTCGTATTGAGTATCGCTTGCTTTGTGTCTGCCTTCATTGGGGCCTTAGCGGAGTGTGTTAACTTTAATGTTATCAATATGGATATTGTTTATGTAAACCAATGGCTTCGGGCTTCCTTGTGTAGGAAAGATTGGTTCTACGATGGATTTGTTTACACGTTATTTTTAAGTTGCTAGTTCTTCTTTAGACAGTGGTTAGTTGTTTTTGAGAATTGCTTTTAGAATTGTATAGTAAGGATTAGTTTTACTCGAGGCTTTAGCTAGATAGTAGTAGTAGGTAGCATTTTGAACTTGTGTATATATTTATGTATATATCTGCCATTACCATGCATTTTTCTTATGTTTTCCTTTTCTTTTTCTCTTCCCCCCCCCCCTTCCAGTGAGGTTGCTTGTGCAACTTGGCTGGGTGTTTTGTTATGTATGAATTGTTTTGTTTGGTGTAAAAAGTTTGTTGTGGACGTATTGTGTTCTACGTAATGTATTGTACGTAGTGGTTTTACGTAGTGTTTTGTTTGGTGTGGACTTTTGGATGTCGAGAATGGATGAAGGGAGGTTTCTGTGTGTCAGGGCCTGGACCATCCTAGACATCATAAGTCGGCGCAACACCAGCAAATGGTCAAACGTAATGTTTTGTTTGATGTAAAAAGTTTGTTTCGTTTGGTTCTGTTTTGTGGTAGTTTTTATCTATTCTTATTTTATAACTTTGGGTTCCATGCAATAAATTTTATTAAATTGTTAAAAGTTTTTGTTTTATTTTAGTAGCTTATTAGTTAGACTAAGGTTAGGGTTTAACCACCGTGGGTTCTACCACGGTTGCACTGACCGGACAGATAAGTTAGTTAAGCATAGAAGGGTAGATTTGAGGTATCCCCCCCTAGCAGGGCTTACAAATTGGTAGCACGAGTGGGGTCAGTGCTTTAGTCTAGTTAAATTTTTGTTTTTTTACTAGGGCTAGTGTAGCTTAGTTAAATTTTTTTGTTTCTGATAGGCCCTTTTATGGAACCATATGTGTTTAGTTTTTGTTTAGTGTAGGAATTGTTTGTTGTTTAAACACCCAGTCAGGTTGGCGGAGAGACGAGCCTTCAGTGTGCGTGGCTGGACAAGGCACGGTGTGTGGCACTGGACCTGGCGTGTGATGAAGATGGCGGCCTCGTGTGGTCTAGACTGGACAACACACACGGGCGTGGCGCGGATCTGGTGTGTACGGCAGACCGGTGAACAACGAGAGGCCTATGACGTCGATTCCTTGACCCACAAAGAGGGCTACTGGACACCCGCCCCACAGGTGTGTCGAAACGGAGGCACGATCATTGGGGGCGGGTAACAGTCGGAGAGCCAGTGGGGCAAGGCGGTTGCGTCACCACCTGGCCCAACCAAGCGGACGCTCCCTACCAACGAGAGGCCTATGACGTCGATTCCTTGACCCACAAAGAGGGCTACTGGACACCCGCCCCACAGGTGTGTCGAAACGGAGGCACGATCATTGGGGGCGGGTAACAGTCGGAGAGCCAGTGGTTCAAGGCGGTTGCGCCATCTCCGGACCAACCTAGCGGACGCTCCACCGGTGTGCCTACGGTGACGCAAGACCAGAATGCGTGTACAGATGAGACGTTGCAACGGCGTGTCATTAGTAGCGGGCGGGTCTAGCCTGACCCTCCCCCCTTGCCCTTCCGGATGAACGATCGACAGGACTAGTAGCGCGGATCAGCCCTCAGTAAAGTGAACACTATCTTGGTGCCTTGAGTTTTTTTTAGAGAGCACAGAGACGCAAGATTAATGTTAATGGAAATTGTTTTTTTCTTGCATTCAAGCTGATAGGCTTGGTGTAAGAGATGGGTGCATGTTTTATTTTAAGATTGTTATATGTATTTTTTTGTCTAACAGGGACTGTAAGATTTTTAAAAGGGGTGAATGTGAGCGGGTGAATGGATTTTTTTGTATTATTTTATTTGTTGCGAATCTGGGAGTGCATGGTGGTCCAATGGGGAACAGCACGGGGTCCCCCTTCCGCTCGAAGCGGACAGTATAAATTAACCGGTCGGACGATTTTCTCCCTCTTTTTGACCCACGGCGAGATGTAGGTCGGGTCAGGTTTCTGCGTGGGCGCACCTCACGCGTGGAGGTATTTGTTTTTTTATACTTTATCTTTATGTGATTTGTATGAATGCGACTGTCGATGTTTCTCGTTTTCTTTCATTTTCGTCTAAAACGAGATAGTGAGCATCGGCATGTCTGGTATGCACGTGGTGTGTTATTCTGTTATTTTGAATTAAAATGTATTTTTGGTGTTTTCTAAACCCGTGGCGTGTGTTTCGGACCACGTGGTTTAGGTCAGTGTGTTTAGGAGTGTTTCCTAAACTAGTGTGAATGCGTGTGTGCATTTACTTGATTGTTTTATGATGTGTTATTGACTAGGATTGGCTTAGTCAATAGTTAGTTGTTTTAGACAGTAATTAGATTAGTATATTTTAGTTGCCTCGAGTTTTAGGTTGTTTAAAATTAATGTGTGTGCTGTTTCGTGCAACGTCGTATTGAGTATCGCTTGCTTTGTGTCTGCCTTCATTGGGGCCTTAGCGGAGTGTGTTAACTTTAATGTTATCAATATGGATATTGTTTATGTAAACCAATGGCTTCGGGCTTCCTTGTGTAGGAAAGATTGGTTCTACGATGGATTTGTTTACACGTTATTTTTAAGTTGCTAGTTCTTCTTTAGACAGTGGTTAGTTGTTTTTGAGAATTGCTTTTAGAATTGTATAGTAAGGATTAGTTTTACTCGAGGCTTTAGCTAGATAGTAGTAGTAGGTAGCATTTTGAACTTGTGTATATATTTATGTATATATCTGCCATTACCATGCATTTTTCTTATGTTTTCCTTTTCTTTTTCTCTTCCCCCCCCCCTTCCAGTGAGGTTGCTTGTGCAACTTGGCTGGGTGTTTTGTTATGTATGAATTGTTTTGTTTGGTGTAAAAAGTTTGTTGTGGACGTATTGTGTTCTACGTAATGTATTGTACGTAGTGGTTTTACGTAGTGTTTTGTTTGGTGTGGACTTTTGGATGTCGAGAATGGATGAAGGGAGGTTTCTGTGTGTCAGGGCCTGGACCATCCTAGACATCATAAGTCGGCGCAACACCAGCAAATGGTCAAACGTAATGTTTTGTTTGATGTAAAAAGTTTGTTTCGTTTGGTTCTGTTTTGTGGTAGTTTTTATCTATTCTTATTTTATAACTTTGGGTTCCATGCAATAAATTTTATTAAATTGTTAAAAGTTTTTGTTTTATTTTAGTAGCTTATTAGTTAGACTAAGGTTAGGGTTTAACCACCGTGGGTTCTACCACGGTTGCACTGACCGGACAGATAAGTTAGTTAAGCCTAGAAGGGTAGATTTGAGGTATCCCCCCCTAGCAGGGCTTACATTTATACTAGCAGGGAACAGTTGGGTCAGCTTGGAGATACTGAAAGATAGGAGCAGGGAACAGCTTTATACTAACAGGGAACAGCTTTATACTAGCAGGGAACAGTTTTATACTAGCAGGGAACAGCTTTATACTAGCAGGGAACAGCTTTATACTAGCAGGGAACAGCTGGGCCAGCTTAGAGATACTGAAAGATGGGAGCAGGGAACAGCTTTATAATAGCAGGGAACAGCTTTATACTAGCAGGGAACAGCTTTATACTCGCAGGGAACAGCTTTATACTAGCAGGGAACAGCTTTATACTCGCAGGGAACAGCTGGGCCAGCTTGGAGATACTGAAAGATAGGAGCAGTGAACAGCTGTATATACTAGCAGGGAACAGCTTTATACTCGCAGGGAACAGTTTTATACTCGCAGGGAACAGCTTTATACTAGCAGGGAACAGCTTTATACTATCAGGGAACAAAGTCACAGCTAATTATAATAACAGTTATACTGAAGTTAGCTGGGGACAGCCACTCTTCTAGGAGAGACAACTTCAAAATTAAGACAACTGCTGCCTTGTAGTTTGTTCTTGGTTGAACAAAGGCTATGGAAGCAAATCCAACAAGAAAAGCAGGCTGAAATCGGAGTCAACGGCCTCAATGGCGCATAACCAGTTGACACGTAACGCTTAATTGCGTTGGAGGCGTGGTCGAGTCGGCAAAAAGCTCATGGTTGATAAATTCGAACAAAATCTCGAGTTCAAACCCACTGGCAGATAAATCTCGATCCGCTTCAACACTAATAATTGAGAACGAAGAAGAATATACTGAAGTAAAATAAATAGGGAGCGATGTTACAATAAAAATGATGTTATAATAACTTGGCGATACTGAGGATTAAAAACAATAAACAACGTTACAGTTTTAAAATGTGAGTGATAAAATCGTTTTATAAAACGTAACGTCGTGAATGGATGACCCCATATAGCTTTACAATGAATTTAATTGCCTGCATGCCTCACGATACTGGCATTAATGAAATCATTTCTTAACCCCTTAATGCCTGAATTATGTTCCAAGCGTGTAAAAAATTATTTGTGCTGATTTTCTCTCATCATGCTGACACTGAATTTGAGGTATATAGTTGTTTTTGAATTTTGACTTATTTTTGATGATAATTACGGTATGTCGCGAAAACGCGACATCAGGCACTTATGGACCAAACAGTAATTTTTTTTTTTTTAGTCCGGGTCATTTTAACATTTTTACTGTCACATGTTTCTCTAAATATCCACGCACAAACAATAAAATTTCACAAACTAAACATACGGACATGCAAGGAGATGTAGAATCACTTGCAAAACTCATGAAAACTATATTTTATTAGCTCAGGCATAGAGTTACATAACTCTGCTGCACCTGCTCACTGACTAACTCTTATGAATAGGTATTTTGATGTCTTGCTGTTGTAATTCTACTACACTACAGTAATACACTACATATGGAAGGACTACCTTCAATGTGTAGAGCCTTAGTTGTCCCCGGTTACGTAATTTTCGTGAACTCTTATTCAAGGTCAACTAATAAAGACGTATATTTCTCATTTGACCTATATTTGCTATACACACAAAGCACGTGAACAAATACTGTCCTAAATGACAGTGTTCAGCCATTGTATATTCGTCCATGCTCAATGCAGCTGCTGTGGGTACTTAGTGTTACTGCTGTGGGTACTCAGTGCCACCGGTGTGGGTACTCACTGCTATTGTTGATGGTACCCTATGTTTCCAATTCGTGCTACGGCTATTGTTCTCGACTGATTCTGATATTGATTACCAATGACAGTGCTGTAGCTACATAGTGCCACTGCTATAGGTACTCAGTGCTGAAACAGTGGGTACTGAGTGTTGAAGCCATGTGTACTGAGTGCTGAAGCTGTGGGTACTCACTGTTGAAGCTGTGGGTACTCAGTGTTACTTCAGTCGGTTCTTGGTGTCACTGCTGTGGGTACTCAGCGCTGGAGCTGTTGGTAATCGATAACGTTGATACAGGTACTCAGCCTTAGCAGTGGGTACTCAGTAGCACTGCTGTGAGTGCTTATTGCTCAAACTGTGGTTGCTCAGTGTCACTGATGTTGGTACTCAGTGCTGAAGATGTGGGTACTCAATAACACTGCTGTAGGTACTAAATGCCAGTATAATGCCACTAATGTGGTTATTCAATAGCACTGCAAAGGCTATGTGTGTCAGCACTCAACCTTACTGTATTTATTACGAGGTGTAGGTCTATGCTCAATGTAATTATTGTCAAGGTCACAGTGAAGACCTTTATTTGGTGGTATCCAGGATAGTGGTCCACCACCTCACTTCCTGTTGTCTATTTTGTTTTTTATGTTCTCCTAATATTATACAATACTATTTCAAAGCTAAATAAGTTACATTGTAACCAGCAGCATGATCACATTATTCAAGCATCGCTCTCTCTCCATATGCCAATGTCAATGAAACAGGTGAACTCTACTTCACCTACCACATGGACCGTAACGTTCTAAAGTGCACTTTTATATATAGGCGAAGACTATATTGTAAATCCTTTACTTATTTATAATCATACTTGAATGAATGACAGCTTGGCGATGCATCGTATTTCGTTATACCTGCTTGTCACCCAAGTTCCATTTGATGTCTTATTGCCGGATGTCGCGAAAACGCGACAAACCGTAATTAGCAAATAACTTTCAAAATTATTCTCATATGTGATTTATATTGTTTATATACATAAAAGAATGAATAATAAAGCTATTAGTATTTTTTGTAGCAAAAACGGATCACCTATTTAGTAATAATAATCAATGTAAGTAGGCTGAATTCACGAAGTCAAAAAAATTGAGATGCGCGTGAGTCAAGAGAGTGTGACGTCATAACTTTCGACTTGACAACGTGACCATTGGTACCGATACAACTGTCTGGATGTACCCAATACACAACGACCGGCAGCAGTAGGATAAATGTACATATGCGCAAATGCTATGCGCTAAATCGGTATGTCGCGAAAACGCGACTGTCGGCGTTAAGTTATTTACTGACTGTGGTCCGTATTTTAAAACCTTGGAATTGAATTAATTCTTCAATAATAATGCTCTTAGAAGTCAATATAATTCTCCTAGTACGAATGGTTTTTCAGAGCACCAAGTCAACATTTAAAAAAATATTCTTTATCTTGATAAGAAAAGTGCTTTTGAATTTTCAAGGGAAATAATCTAGTGAATTCTTCAATATTATGGTGTTGTGAGCTATTTTTTAAAGTGATTGTCTGCGCTTGTCTTGACAAAAACGAAAAATGGGAAAATTGTAATTTGATATAGTATAATCAACTTTAATTTGATCTTTGAGTATACACCTCTGAACTCTCTTTTATTTAATTGTTATCGCTCCAGTATATAATAGTTTGTTAAGAGCTGCAGTGATAATAATGTGATACAGGCTCCTTACAGGCTGCTAGCGCTAGTTTATACCGACTAAATTCCTTGTTAACTACTGCAAAAACTTACAAGTCTTCCAACTTCTTCAGTCCCTTGACGAATTCGTCGAGAGTTATCCTCCTGTCTCCCTGAGGCCCATCAAAGTAGACGAAGGCATCCTGTTGGAGAAAAGACTTTTATTCAGATTATGCCGTTTTAATAATCTCTTAAGTTATATGCGGTTATATAATTTATCATTTGGTCTCAAAGGGGTTAATTTTGTTGGCCGTAGTATGCATACGCGATGGCGCCAGAGGGCGGGTGAGGGTGAGGGGAGCGCGGTCCGTATCTGGTGACACCATTTAGGAGTGACACCAGTAAGGGGGGTGACACCACGACGAAAATTCGTAAAATTCACTGTTGAAACAATGTTTTATCCAGTTAAAATAATAAATATATTAGGGGAGGGGTGACACCAAATCTAAAACGCACAATTGTTGGAGGGGTGGAGGAGGGGTGTCCCACCTTCAGCCACGGCACCTGATGACACCCGACCTAGTGACGCCACGGTGTATGTGGTCTTAAGATAGTTCAGATACATTCCCATTTGGCTTGCCTCACAGTAAATAGTATTGTTTAATGTAAAGACTCATTTTACAGGTTAGGTTACGTTTAGAGTTAGTTTAAAGCTAATCAATGGTTATTGTGGTAGTTCATCCAACTCAAACGTATAAGCAATCAATAAAAGAAACAGCAAAATAATAAGATAAATTCAAACTAAAACCAAAGCCCCCAGCCCCCCCCCCCCCCCACCCACCGCGATCTGGGTGTCCGTCATGTTACTGTTCCCCGCCCTCAGCAGATTCCTCAGCTCGTGCACGTCCAGGGTGCCGCTGTTGTCCTTGTCGAACTTCTTGAACAGCTCCTCCCACTGCTGGGTAGATCTCTTGGGTGCCATCTTCAGTAGGTCGGGGTTGTATTTGGGTCGCGCTGAAAGATAGTAGTAGTCAGATATTTAGTGTGTGATTCGTGTGTACGTATGTGTGTGTGTGTGCGTGTGTTGTCGGGAGGGGGGACATCAATTGATACCCGCCCCCTCATCGACCCTTTTATGGTAACTTTCTATTTCAATGAACGTGCATCTAAATTGGTCGTTAATCTTCACAATCATTCCTTCGGTTAGTCTCAGTCTTTTGTTTAGCTGTACTCAATCATTCCTTTTGGTCTACTCAATCATTTCTTCAGTTGTATTCAATCACTCCCTTGGTTGTACCCAATCATTTTAGTTGTACCCAATCATTACTTTAGTTGTACTCAATCATTACTTTAGTTGTACTCAATCATTTATTTGTTGTATCAAAATATTATTCTTTATATCCAATCATGCATTGGGATGTATTCAATCATTCATTGGTTGTACCCAAGCATTCATTGGTTGAATTCAATCATTTATTGGCTGTATTCAATCATTCCCGACGTTTTTCTCAATGATTTTTTACAATGTGAAAAAAATGAGAACGTGATCCGATACAAACGGTATGTTTGTTTTAATCATTATGTGTGTTTGTATGTGTGTGTATGCGTGTTTGGGAAAAAGGCGTAGGCGTGGAATAAAATAGTAAAAACATCCGAACGTGATTTATTGTGTGTTATTAAGTGAGTGCAGTAAGGTGCGTCAACGATCATAACACACATAGGTACACTAACACAGCAATCTTTAGGCGTTGTGGAATGTTGTGACAACTGATCTATCGGTCACAGCTTGCAACATGCAATTAGCTCAGTTGGCTCCCTACAAGCCATCCAAGTGACACGGTTGATTGACTACGTTGTAAACATTCCGGCAGGTCAAGCCGGCAGACCTACGCCTACGTCGATTGAAGGCCGGCAATATTTGGGTGACTCAAGGGTTAAATATGTTGATGTGAGATTAGGGGTTAAGGCCCTGTTCACATCTAGTCGCGAGGTCAGTGAAGATGGAAGACAGGTCTTTACCTCTAAGCTTTAGATCTCTAAAGGTCTCCAAGTCAAGGATAGTTGACGAAAACATGTTAAGGATAGAGTAAAGTGTAATAAGCTTTAGCCAATGGTATATACTAGAGACTAGTCAAGGATAGAGTAGAGTGTACAGAGGCGTAGCGAGGGGGCATATGTTCCCGGGCGCCGACCTTAGGGGGCGCCAAAATGGGTTGGAATAATAAATTGAAAGGTTGAGGGGGGTGCAAATCAAAAGTTTGAGGGGGGGGGGGGTACAAATCGAAAGCTTGATGGGGGGGGGGGGGTGCAAATCGAAAGTTTGTCCCCGGTTGCCGGGAAGGGGGTCGCTACGCCTCTGAGAGTGTAATAAGCTTTCACCAATGGTACACTAGGGACGAGCCAAGGATAGAGTTAGAGTAGAGTATAGGTAGGTTTAAGCCAAGAATGTTAGGTATAGGACATCACCCCCCCCCCCTTTCAGATACAAGGGGGGGGGGATGTCCTGCTGCTGAATGTAGTTAAGTACAATTACTTTAACACATATGACGTCATAAATGGTATTTTAACAATTCCTTACACCCAACAATCTTTTCTAATTGCATCAATTATGTTTAATTCTAATTTTCTGTAAAATCGTGACTTCATCAGGCGCCATCACGTGACTTCATTAGACACCGTCACAGCGGGCATATGCCACATACTCGAGGCATATCCCTACATGCACTCAACTTTCGCCACGCCACGCCCACTTCACCCCCTCCCGAATGACAGGGATACATCACTCACCCCCCCCCCCCCCAGCCAAACGCCATCAATATTTCATCATCTAAGCTCGTGTTAGAAACGTTTAGAATAGCCGGACCCTGAAGGTAAAAAAAAAACTCCACACATAACCGATATAGCGAGATGTCTGTGCAGCGATTTAATTGATGCTTAACTTTTTAAAATTTTATTCCCACTCCATTCCACGCGACGAATAGACAACGGAAAATCTTAAGCAGACGTCAATTTACTTTTTCGCCGCGATAATGATTTAATTATTTTAATACCCCACCATTTTCTCTTGCCGTGTCTAAAAATAGCAGCCTTATAATAAACTCGCATTATCTCTAAGCTTAGGTTGTCTCCCATTAATGACGTCAGAACAAAACTCAATACGACGTCACTGAACTCCCCCCGACCTTTCAGAGATGGCAGATCGTGAGCTGCGCGGTATCGATTCCACGACTAAACGTCGAGCTGAAACTGAAGAAGAGCTACAACGATATAAACGGTATCGAAAATCGGATCGATCGTGCGATAATTAGCCTGGCGGTTATGACGTGAAGGTTTGAACAGTTTCGATTGTGACATTTATTTTGTTTGAGGTATAAATAAAAGATGACAGCTGCTGCGTTATAGCAAGCATGTACAAATGTCAGTGGCAAATGTGTAGTGTAGGGAGGACGAGGGGAATCCGACAGTTCCGTCAAGTTGTTGTATCGCAGACTAAAATCATACACGTCTGCTTTTGTCAAGTGCATAATACACACACTTTCTTACTTTGAAAAAACAAACAATATTAATGCCAAACATCTTATTACTTAACTAAGGCTTGAAAAACTGCATACCAACCACACACACATTTTTTTACTACTTTAAAGTAAATAAGTGAGGACAAAATATATAATATATGATTGATGACAATAATTGGAATAAGTGAGTACAAATACATGAATGATTTAGGATTGAAATGAACGTAGATAGAATGTGAATTGCTTGGGGTGGGGGTGGGGGGTGGAAGAAATGGGAGTGTCAGGAGGACGTCCCTGGAAAAAAGTAAAACCAAATGTGGGAACGAATTAAGACTAAAATGGGGACACATTAAGATACATCTCTTAATCAATTAAGATAAAGTACGGGAAAGATTAAGGACATTCGCCAGCTGTGATTTTAAATCCCATTTCAAAGCGTTTCAAGTGTTTAATGACCGGGGTGTGGAGAGTAGGGGTCGATGAGTTAAACGGTCCACAGCTACTGGATAAGGTTCACAGCGCTGGCTGCACCGTGGGGCGACTCCCCCACCCCTCCAACCTAAGTGGGGCAACTCCACCACCCCAACAACCTATCCCCCACCCCAGCAACCTACGTGGGGCGACTCCCCCACCCCTCCAACCTCAACCTACGCGGGGCGACTCCCCCACCTCATCACAACTCCCCCACCCTACCAACCTATCCCCCACCCCACCAACCTACGTGGGGCGACTCCCCCACCCCTCTAACCTACGTGGGGCGACTCCCCCAGCCCTCTAACCTACGTGGGGCGACTCCCCCACCCCTCTAACCTACGTGGGGCGACTCCCCCACCCCACCAACCTACGTGGGTCGGTCATTAAATCAAGGTGAGACTTGTGCAACATATGGCAACAACATAACAGCGGTGAACTAATTCGTGCAGTACTTGATTGTTTTATTGATTCGCGGGCTTATATATATATATATATATATATATATATATATATATATATATATATATATATATATATATATATATATATATATATATATATATATATGCAGTCAAGGTAAAGTGTACGTAGTCATCAGGTAACATGTTGAAGAACGACTCTATGAGTGTGAGATCCACACACTATCTTAAAATCTAACACACAACTCACAGCTACCAGCTACGTTTGGTAAGCTAAAGAATAGTGTGTTGGTCAAACTGTGGCATGTTTCTTCTTTTTACTCATTTTAAAAATTCCATTCGAGATTCATATGCTGATTAAAGATTATATTTCTAAATATAACTTTCGTTCCAAGTTTTAAAAAAAAAAACAATTAAGTGTTGGAGGGGAATGTTTATAAACAATGTTTACTCTCTAATCCATACCTGTGAAATAAAGTTTGATTCAGCGCTCTGTGAACGACTTCATAGATCACCGCTCTACACCTTCACACACTAACTCACCCACACAATCACAAGTAGCTTTCATCCAGATTTATAATTTTATCATTAACTTTACCCAGTTTCAAATCATCTATACATACTAATATATACATACATATCATTATATATGTACATCCGTATAGATATCCTTGTGTATATTTAATCTCCTACCCCACCTTAAAAACCCTGCTAACGCCACTGCCTGTGACTACTACAGCAGACACAGAATTCAACACAACCAGGGCGTCACAACAAACCTAGATCTACTTGCTGGCTAAACCAAGATAAGATCTCTGTTTTCTGTAGCAGCCCCTAACACAGGATTCAAATGTTCCTCTACAACCTTAGCTGTGTCAGCGCTTGTCTTGATGGGGCTAACTATATACTGCTTAGGGGAGAGGTTTTTCAGGCTTTTTGTGATTACCTCAACTGGAACGATCATTTTCTTAAAAAAAAAATTTCTTTTCAATGGCTCTACAGGATTTTAAATTACTTGTACAATAAAAATATTATAATCCCTGCATTGTTAAATTCTTAGCTATTTTAACACACGTTAATCAAGTTAACGTAAAGTTTGTGTAAAATGTGTAGTGTTGTGGACGGGGGGGGGGGGGGAAGGGAGGGATACAGTATATTATCAAAAGCGGTAATTCACTTTAAGCCAATCTCGGCTGATATACAATATACATACATTTACATCAATAGTTAACCCCAGGTATTAGGTCACAAATATCTTGCACAGGTTCGAGGTTTAACCCCTACCTACCCCCCACCCTCCCTCCAACGTTTTAACACACACAATAGACGAAGTAAAAAATACCCGGACACTAAGGAGAAGTGTTTTTTGTACTGTTTACGACTGCAGGTGATAGACCCCCACTAGACAAAGTTAATTTAAGACAACAGGAACTTTGCACTAAGTTTTGTTAACTTTAAAAACATGATCACGTTTTAACTTTAATGCGTAGATATTTCATTGTGTCAGCTGAATGACACAGTAAAATAAGAGCAAAATGTAATGTGTATGTGTGTGTATGTGTGTAGGACTGTGACAATATTTACTTCCGGTATCCAGGTCTACACTGACAGGTGGCTAAAGCCAGGGATTCTCAAAATGTTTGCCTCCTACAGACCCTGTTCTACCCGCGTAAAGATCACAGAAAACTGGTATCGAGTTGAGAAGTATTGTTGTAACATCTAATCTCACTTTCCTATTTGGGTAGCGCTTACAGGTCTATACCCTCCCCCCACCTCCCAATAACACATTGAGATATTTAAAAACTTAATTTCCACCCCCCTATAGGTAAACTTTCTATTCAATCCTCTCCCACCCCCACTCCCTGATTGTATAATGCTATTGGTAGTCAACCCCAACTTGGTGAAACGCTGGTCTAAAGGATCCTATTCTGGCCCACTTCACATTACACTGACATCTGTGTTTGCACTAAACACACAATAGAGAGAAAAACTTTTCCTTAAACTTTAGTAGCCGTTTTGGGTCCTACACGCAACCAGTGCTGGGGTCCTACACTCAGCCAATCAGATTATTGTGACGTTAAACATGAAGGTAGAAATGTGTGATCTCACTTGTCACTTGTGATACCCTCACCGTACGTGTAAGATTTTAAAAACTCGTCACTGTATGTTCCTGGCGTGTATAGATGCCTGGAAATCGGTGTTTGGCTTTTATACTATAAGTTTGAAGTACACAAGATAACGAAATGCTTTCCAACGAATTATGTCAGGGGTTCCCAACCTTTTTTTACTCTAGAGCACATTCTAAAATATCGGTAGGGTGGCGGGCACCACCTATTTTAAATCGACAAACTCCTTCCAGAGGCGTAGCGACCCTCCCCGTCACCCGGGGACAAAACTTTCGATTTGCATCCCCCCCCTCAAACTTTCGATTTGCACCCCCCCCCCCCTCAAATTTTCGATTTGCACCCCCGCCCTCAAACTTTCGATTTGCACCCCCCCTCACATTTTCGATTAGCACCCCCCCCCCCTCAAACTTTCGATTTTCATCCCCTTCAACCTTTCAATAATGTTTATGAAAAAAATTCTGTCTCTTTCGAATAGTGAGAGGCGGGCACATACGAATCGTTCGGCGGGCGTCATGGCGCCCGCGGGCACGGGGTTGGGAACCCCTGAATTATGTATTGCTATTTTAAAATATATTTACCTACAAAGCAAGTATATATATATATATATATATATATATATATATATATATATATATATATATATATATATATATATATCGCGTGTGATATTTTATTAAAAAGATAGGTGGGTCAGAGAAGGAAGAAGCCTCCAAGAAGCCTCCAGCCCGATGGAAATACAACATGAATGAGCCAACATAAGAACCTTCCTTAGTTTTAAAAGTCACACGTACTTGCTAAACACACATTTTTGTATGGAATAAATTAAACTGTCACCGGCTTCACACCCTCTGCGTGAGAAAATTGTTTTCGTTTCCTACTGCTGATGATTTTACTCAACTCGGAATTTTTTGGTCAAATTTCCCGAACATTGTTGGTACTTACACATGGCTGAACCAGTTTGAGAACCGCTGACTTGAATGGATGGGTTTATAAACCAACACTTAACAAAAGCCTTGCTGTTTACCTCCCTTAAATGGTCTATGTCCGTTTGAAAGCACGCACAAACTTAACGGAGAAGCTGAGTGTTGTCAATAGACGTCACTGGCCGTAGACCGTGTGTGTTTGTAGAGTAGGGACACGCGTTTGACTTCTCATCAGCTTAATTAATACTACTCATTAGCGAAGGTTCACCATCCAGTTTTGCACTGGTTGGTTTGGACTAATCAGCACAAATATGTAAATACGAAGGTTCTCAGGTCAACCATGAGAATAATTAGATACTAATAATATCACGGGCGGGGAGGGGGGGGGGGGGGGTTGAGGGAGAGTTTGGGTTCATGAAAAAAAAACTTGGGGTAAATAATGCATAAATACTATAAGTATGGTGTACGTGAATACGGATACACTACAATGTAAACTATAATAGAAAGCAGAAGTAATAAACACACAAGTAAACATACCTCCATATATATATATATATATATATATATATATATATATATATATATATATATATATATATATATATATATATATATATATATATATATATATATATATATATATAAGGTGTGTATGTGGGGAGGGGTCTCTATGTATGTGTATACATATATTAAGTGGTTTATTCTGTGTAGCTATGTATGTCAAGGTAAAGTAACAGCGCTGGATTTAAAATTAAATAGCACACGTCTTGCGTGACTTCTACATTTTAAATACACCACAAAACTTCAACATTATTTATATTATATTACTACACTAAACAGCTAATTAAACTCAGTTTGTCGCTTTAAAAAGCAAATGCCACACTTAAAAGCTCAAACTAGTTTTATAGGAAAATAAAAGTTGAGGTGATAGAAGTTAGACAGAACTTACCTGTAGGCAGGCAGGTGACGGTTGTGTCGTCTTAGTGCTTTGGTTTGTCAATGGAATGTAATAGCTAAGACGGCCTCTACCTGTGATAGAATAACACGGAACAGGTAAAAAAAATTCCTCCCGTCGACTAAATACGGTAATACTCGATATTCGAGGCAATTTTTGCGTGCAGCGATGTCGAGTATTGGCGTTTTTCGATACTAGGGTGACCGGTTCGGAATTTCTGCCCCATTTTATAAGAAATAAATAGCTATTTTTATAAACTCGTAGATCCGTAGATCTATATGTATTTTTAAAATATTATAACATAAATTAAACACAAACGTACTGATATTTTTCGTGATCGTTTTTCTGCATAGTAACCGAATTTAAACATTAAAATGTTTTTTTCTTGTGACGCGACTGTAGAAGCAAGATATTATGATTTATATTCGAATTTTTATGGTTGTATTATTGTTTTTTGTTCCATAATGTAGCATACGCCCGTATCACACGTTACGTTGCATCAATCATATTTGTTTAGGGGTCGCTAATTATCTGCAGGTCGCTAATTATTCTCTCATTGGAACTGGGTTGTCAAGCTAACTTTTCGTAATTAACGTATGCTGATGAGGTATATTTGCATAAGTGATCGGCTAATTAGGTAATGATAAACGTTCTAACAAAACTTGTTCTAGAACCTACTAGCAGGTCCCACTCCCACACACCAGGTCCCACTCCCAGACACAAGGTCCCACTCCCACACACCAGGTCCCACTCCCACACACCAGGTCCCACTCCCACACACAAGGTCCCACTCCCACACACCAGGTCCCACTCCCACACACCAGGTCCCACTCCCAGACACAAGGTCCCACTCCCACACACCAGGTCCCACTCCCACACACCAGGTCCCACTCCCAGACACAAGGCCCCACTCCCACACACCAGGTCCCACTCCCACACACAAGGTCCCACTCCCACACACCAGGTCCCACTCCCACACACCAGGTCCCACTCCCACACACCAGGTCCCACTCCCACACACCAGGTCCCACTCCCACACACAAGGTCCCACTCCCACACACCAGGTCCCACTCCCAGACACAAGGTCCCACTCCCACACACCAGGTCCCACTCCCAGACACAAGGTCCCACTCCCACACACAAGGTCCCACTCCCACACACCAGCTCCCACTCCCAGACACAAGGTCCCACTCCCACACACCAGGTCCCACTCCCAGACACAAGGTCCCACTCCCACACATCAGGACCCACTCCCACACATCAGGACCCACTCCCACACATCCAGTCCCACTCCCACACACAAGGTCCCACTCTCACACATCCGGTCCCACTCCCACACATCAGGTTCCACTCCCACACACCAGGTTTCACTTCCACACAACAGGACTCACTCTCACACATCAAGTCCCACTCACACACATCAGCTCCCACTCCCACACATCAGCTCCCACTCCCACACATCAGGACCCACTCCACTCACCAGGACTATTTCCCACACATGAGGCACCACTCCCACACATCAGCTCCCACTCCCACACATCAGCTCCCACTCCCACACATCAGGACCCACTCCCACACACAAGGTCCCATTCCCACACACCAGGACCCATTCTCACACACCAGGTCCCACTCCCACACATCAGGACCCACTCCAACACACAAGGTCCCATTCCCACACATCAGGACCCATTCTCACACACCAGGTCCCACTCCCACACATCGGGTCACACTCCCACACATCATGTCACACTCCCACACACCAGGACCCACTCCCACACATTAGGTCCCACTCCCATACATGAGGCACCCACTCCCACACACCAGGACCCACTCCCACACATCAGGACCCACTCCCACACATCAGGACCCACTCCCACACATTAGGTCCCACTCCCATACATGAGGCACCCACTCCCACACATCAGGACCCACTCCCACACATTAGGTCCCACTCCCATACATGAGGCACCCACTCCCACACATCAGGACCCACTCCCACACATAAGATCCCACTCCCACACATCAGCTCCCACTCCCACACATTAGGTCCCACTCCCATACATGAGGCACCCACTCCCACACATCAGGACCCACTCCCACACATTAGGTCCCACTCCCATACATGAGGCACCCACTCCCACACATCAGGACCCACTCCCACACATAAGATCCCACTCCCACACATCAGGACCCACTCCCACACATCAGGTCCCACTCCCACACATCAGGTCCCACTCCCACACATCAGGTCCCACTCCCACACATTAGGTCCCACTCCCACACATCAGGACCCACTCCCACACATTAGGTCCCACTCCCATACATGAGGCACCCACTCCCACACATCAGGACCCACTCCCACACATAAGATCCCACTCCCACACATCAGGACCCACTCCCACACATCAGGTCCCACTCCCACACATCAGGTCCCACTCCCACACATCAGGTCCCACTCCCACACATTAGGTCCCACTCCCACACATCAGGTCCCACTCCCACACATTAGGTCCCACTCCCACACATTAGGTCCCACTCCCATACATGAGGCACCCACTCCCACACATCAGGACCCACTCCCACACATTAGGTCCCACTCCCATACATGAGGCACCCACTCCCACACATCAGGACCCACTCCCACACATAAGATCCCACTCCCACACATCAGGACCCACTCCCACACATCAAATCCCACTCCCACACATCAGGTCCCACTCCCACACATCAGGACCCACTCCCACACATAAGATCCCACTCCACACACCAGGACCATTTCCCACACATGAGGTCCAACTCCCACAACTGAAGTCCCACTCCAACTCCCACACATAAGGACCCACTTTCACACATCAGGTCCCACTCCCCCCCCCCCCCAAATAAACACAGTGTACCATCACTCATACACAAGCCCCTCCCCACACATATGCATTGCTCCATCATTTATACACACTTGCCCCACACAGTGAGTACCAGCTTCCACCAGCACCACACCGTTTGACGCCATACATGCAATACAAACAGTTCCAGCTACAACAACATAACAGCTCTTCCACACTATCCTCGCACACACACAACGAGGGGCCCATCTCCCACATACATCAGCTCTCCCACACACAGAAGCCTCCACACATTGAAGACCAGCTCCCCACACCAGCAACGTTTCACTCCCCCCCACCCACACACAGTACTAGCTGTAGCGCTGCTATAACGTTTCAATTGCCATACTATTTTATTTATCGTGAGGCATTACTCAATGTCTCTTTACCAAGTACACACGTGTAAATATAAACATGTTATTATTACATGTTCACTTACATGTGCACTACTCATTGTTATGTGGATGTAACAAACGATTTGTAATTAGCCCGCACATTTACATCCTAGCAGTGGCGGACCTAGAAAAAAAGGGTCACCCCGCAAAATTTTTTTTCGGCCCCCACCTATATATATACATATACATAGCACGCTATCAATCCTGTATTTATTTGAGACGTTTGCCTTGTTTTCTAGAACAGTGGTATTTACACGCAAACAATGTCGGCACTTTATTTCTTGGATCTTAGTTGTTGGGGTGCTAGTTTGTCAACACTACAGCCAAGACGCCCCCGGCTTAGTTGTTGGGGCGCTAGTTTGCCCACACTACTACCCACCTATACGAGCCAGATGATAAAAATGCAAGAAAATTAAATTTTTAATTATAAAAAAAAATTGATTATGGTCGGCTGTGGGCCCAAAAAAAAAAAAACGGCCCTGTAGTTCCGCCCCTGCATCTCAGCTGTTATAATTGTACATTCTCAGTAACACCATACATAACCCTTTCACACCTGGAGATGTTCACGACTGTTACTAAATTCGCAGCTATAAATCGACAATAATATCTAAATTCGTTGGCTTTGTTCTCAAATTTAGTTAGCCAACTTGAAATATAATTAACAACAAACTCACTAAATTATAGAAAAAGTAATACACAAAAAAATAACACTGCGCATGTTTTTTTAAATATTAAGTTACCCGTGAAAAGAAGAGGATTCAGGACTGAAACACTTGGAGAAGTAAAAGAATATTCTAGTCTCGCTGTGAACGAAACAATGTGAAGCGGATGTGAAAATGTGGGCTGTAGAGAATTTTGTGTGGGTTGAATGATGTGTTGATGTAATAATAAAATTGGCCGTGTTTTACCACCTATTTTATAGTACAACTTGATTTATCTTATCTCATCATTG